AAAAACATTTACGATAAACGTATAGACTCTTCTTCCTTTTAATATTTAAAATTTATTAGTAAGCTATAACGTTTAAGTAATTTACATAATACGAATATGTTATATAAAATATTGCAATATCCTTTCATCATGCTAATAACAGCAATAATCATCCGATGTTAAAATGATTAATCAAAATCATAATATGGAATGTTTATACACACATACAAACATACTTTGAAATTTCCTTTTTGCAGAATAAAATGTTGCATAAAAAGTAATCTATTTAACATTGCCTAACCACATTTCGGAAACTAATTGTTGAATATTTTAATTAGAGTAATGTTTCTTGTTGCAGAAGTGGTTTTGCTCAAAATATGCTTTATACGCCATCTATACAATTTATTCATTAATATATTTTGTACATAATATGTATTATGATATTATATAAGATCACAAATGGAAAATTGTATTCGGATGAACTTTTGAAATTTCTTAAGTAGTAGAATTGAGATATTTTGTACATATATATGTATTGAATATTGTTCATTAAATTTAATTTAAATTTTGAACCGCAAATCTAAATAGTATGGTTTATGCATATGTACATATATGGGAAAAATTTCAAAAATTTTTTTTTATATTTTCAACATAATATTTTGGAAATATGTTAAAAGGTTTGGCAACATAAAATTACTATAGACTAAATAGTAAAATTATGAAAGAGAATTGAAATCACATATATATAATTTTGAATATATATAATAAGTTAAAATTAGAATAAGTTGAAGTATCTTGTTTACAATAGATTGCATTTCTCAACACGATTTGTATCCAACTACATTTTTATAATATCGCAATAATACAAGTTGTTCCCTGTAAGTCAAATGTTTTACATATTTTATTAATTTATTGCAAAAAAAATTTCTTTAAAGGTGCTGTGGTATCTGATATATGTTAGCTCGTCCTGAGTTTTACATTATTAAATCCAGTCCCATTCATGTTTTTAAGCCCATATGTATATACTAGTTTTGGTCTTGTTTAGCACAGCATTTCTGAATATAAATTTATCATTGTTATTTTTTAAAATCCAGTTTTTTGAAGAAAATTTCATTCTGCATATTTTTTACGATATTTTCGCCAATTTCTCTCTGAGTTTTTTTATTGCTTATAATCTTATAATCTCGTACACTGAAACTAGAATTTTATCCTTTATTCTATTGATACTTTTATTGAGGGTACACGATTCCATAAATAATACCAAATGATCGATAAATAATACCCAAAATGTGGGGTTATATTAACCTTTTTTCGATATTATTGGTTATTAAATGGTGTCAGCAAAATATTGGATATTATTCTCGCGTTGGTTTTACATTACATATACATAAAATTCGTTTGAATTAATTATATTTTTGTTCTATCATTACTTTTGTTTATAATATCAAAACAAGAATTCAAAATCACGGAAACGATATTAACTTCCAATGTTGAAACATAATTTTGAGACATTAATTCAAAATTAAAATATAAAATTATTAACCTTCACTTGACAGTTTATTGACATGACAATTAAATTTAAATTTTGCGGCAGTAAATGGTTATTATGATTACATTATACATTAATGAAGTTTGATTTGTTGGAAAAGTAATACTTAATTTTGTGTGCCACGAAGCACGACTACGTTACAGCAAATAAGACATAAATTGATTTTAGTTCTTTAAAGAACACATAAACTATAATTACAAACTGAATACAAAAGTTATAATACCATAATTAAAAAAATAAAATAAAATAATTGGAATTTGATTTTTTTTTTATTTTAAGTGATTAAAATTTTTTTAATGAATTAAATACGATAAATCAAAAATAATTCAGATTAAATTTCAATTACGAGTTTAAAATTTTTAATTTCTTTTTTTTTTTATCACTTGTATCTTAATTTGTATTTGTCAAAAAAAAAAAGAAGAAAAAGAAAAAAGGGGTGAACAAAAAAATAAAAATTCAATCAAGTTGTCAACGAAATTTTTTTCTTTTTAAATCAATAAGATCGTAATCAAAATTCAATCGTTTCGACTGTAGAAAAATAATAAATAATTTTAATTTTCTTTTTTTTTTGTATTTTAATGATTTTAAAATATTTAAAATTCTATACTCATAATTCTTGAATATTTGTACATGTAAGTATATGCGAGGAATATGAAAGCATTTAGATATGCAAATAATTACCATTTAAACCAAAATATTATGATTTTGTTAGATGTACGCGTTTTTATGGTGGTATTTGAAGTACAGAAACAAAAATTTAGTGTAATAAAATGAATTTTGAGCAGTGAATACTCAATTAGTGATTTTTTTTATCAGGTTGCTTTTCAACATTGTAATTATATTAAATTATTATTTTGGGGCAATCCTAAAATTTTATGAAATTTCAAAGAAAAAGAAACAATTGCTACATTGTATTTATACCACAAACTCATAAAATTTAAGTTTTCTATATAATTTTTATTCAAATGTGGTTTTTAAATACAGTCATCAGTAGCAATATAAAAATGTTTGTGGCTTTTGTTATAATGATTAAGTTCATGTGTACTCTTGTAGAATCAAAACTAGATTTAAAAATGATTAATTTTGAATGTAACTTTAATATTATTCAAATGATTTGTGGTATTTTGTGGTATTTCTGGATATTACTACTAATAAGTATTAAAGGAATTCCAAATTTGTCTAAATCAACGTTAAAAAACGTTAGCATTCGAAAGAATATTATAAAATAGTTTCCATTTGCCTAAATCTAGATGTGATCTAATCTTTTTTAGCAATAAATGTGCATATTAAAAATTTATATAGGCTTTCACTTGTTCTAATTGAAGTTTGAACGAAATTTAATCAGTAAACGTCTGTAGATTTTATTTAATTGAAAAAATAGAGTTATGTTGAAAATAGTTTTATGCTAAAAATCTATTGGAAGTTATAAGTTACAAAATTTTTCAAATTTTAATAAGTTATTCAAAATTTTTTCAATCAATTACAACATTTAATATTTTTTCGAGAGTTTTGTTTTTTGAAAACTTTAATAGCTGTACTGAATTTAAAATATTTATATACAAACATAATACAAATACATACATACATATTGTATAGATCTATAAACATAAAAGGAAGGAAAAAAGTGTTGTTTTTTTTTTTATTTTACCTCGTTGTTGTTTATGAGCAACTTTATGTTTTACTACACTAAAATTTATTTGTATATTTGAGAAAACAAAAATCATTATTTTCTGAGTAAACAAATTTAACCAACAAACAGCTTTTTTTACATACATATCCATGTATATATACATAAATATACTTACCGACATAATAACATATTGTATATTTGGTAATAATTATTTGTGTACCAGTTTTACTTATGATCTTAAATGTGTATTATACAAACTTTCAAATATTTTAAATATGTACACAGTGAAGTGGAAAAATTTTTGGATTGATTTCTTACATTTTAATAATGAGCTGAAAATAATGACAATATAAAAAATTTTTGAAATATTTAGAATTAGCTTTCATTATTGTATAGCCATAAAAGCTTCACGGACATATTTGACTTATTATTGGGCACACAACTGCCAAGTTTCGTAAATCTAGCTTTGTTATTTTTCCGAATATTTAAAATTAACTTTTGAAATCGTATGGCAGCTACCTGAACCAATACAAACATTCCATTAAAATTTTTCGAAATTTATTATGTAAAATGTAATTAGACACATGTTTTTAAAATTTCGTATAAATATTTTTACTAGTTTTAGAAATATTCAAAAAATTTTTTTTGAGTTGCATAGCAGTTATCCGAAACCGTTATCCGAATTAGTCCAATTACAATACGGTCCGTCCTTTTTTCTTTGTTTCTTTTCTACAGAACCGTCCAATACGGTTTTCTGAAATTCTCGATGCAGGGTATGAAAATGTACCATCAGATTTTAATGGATTTGCACTTTACTTGTTTTCTAATTTATGCACTTTTTACCGATATTTAAAAATTCCATTTTCGTATTCTTTATGTTCTTTTGATATGATGCGGTTATTTCAGCAATTTATTTCAAATATTTTTAAAAACAAAATATTTTCACACTTTAAGTGTACGATATCGAAAAACAGTATAATTTTTGCATACTTTCGGGCGCATAATTAATTTTTACTAAGATTTTTGATTGCAATTTTGTATAGTACTGTAAAATTCTCTTAAATATATTTTTATTTTATTTTTGTTTTATTTGATAAAACTGTTTATGTTTTCGGTTAGGTATGCGCCGCCATTTAGAAATTTATGGCAAATTCAAAATGATTCATGGGTACACGTATAGGAACCTATGTATGTTTTTTTTTTGTAAACGTAAATATATATTTTTATAATATGTTTTATATCGCGGTTGATTTTATTTTCTTATTAATGTTTTTTTTTTTTTGTCTTCTTTATTAGTGTTTAAGATCTATGTTAATGTTGATTTATTTTAAATTTTTGTTTAAAATTTTCTTATTTTCTTAGCTTTTTCTTATTTTGGTTAAAGTAAACTAATCGTTTTATTTTATCTTATTTTTTTATCCCCATATTTTCGTGTATTAGAAACATTTGATATTATATACATAATATACTTAGGTAAGCATATATATATATATATGTTATACATGTATGTATGTATGTGATATTTTCAAATATTTAAAATCTTAATTGGAATCATACTACGTTCGTTGAAATATGCGTGTATGTTTACCCTTTAATATACACAATATGCGAGAATGTATGTATGCAATTACATACTTATAAGTACAAATGTACATGAATTATTTAAAAAACATTGATTTTTTGTTTTCGTACTGAACTTGTAAAAAAAAATAGTAATAAGAAAAAGTAATAATTTTGTTTACATTTTTCAAAAAAAAAAAGAATAAAATTTAGAAAAGAAATTTAAATAAGATTCTTGTTTATTTATTTATTTTTTTTTGTTTTTGTTTTCTCTTGTTATAGGTGGTCTATATTATGTTTGAAATGGCATCGTGGTATACGGAGTTCACGTTTAGATTCTAATGAACCAGTAGTCAATGCTACCAATACAAATAATAATGTTAATAATAAAATAAATAATGGTACTATTACTAATAAGAAAAATATCAGAAATAAGGAAACTTTTAGTAATTTAGCACAATTGGCTGCATGGGGTTTACCAGCATTACAAACTGGAGCTGTTTTAGTAACAAGATTAGTTGATGCCGATGAATTATTAGGTAAGCATATAATTTTATTTTCTTTTCAAAAAAAAAAAATTCCATACATAATTTTGGAGCTATACTACATATGGTATATGTAGGTACCTTTTATCCTACTGTGTGATTACAAAATATTTTTTAGGAAAATAATGTATATTAAATTATTTAAACATAAACATATAGTATGTTATGTACATATACATAACTCAATTTACATTTTTTATTCTTATATTTAACATTATGGAGGTATTACAAGATATTTAATTAATATTTATTTAATATAAATGGTTGCCCATCCCTTGATCTTTGAATAATGTAACAAAATTACAAATAATGCAATAAGCAAATAATATTTGATCTTTTGAAATGCATGTATGTATAATTTTTCAAAATATTTTAAAGAAAAAACAAGCATTTTGAAAATTAATTATTTCTGAAATAAATTTAATTGCAACAAGTATACAAATACGGCAGCAAACAACATTATTATAGATTTGTGTTTATTTTGTCAAAAAAACAAAAATAATTAAATTATCTGGATTATATAAAAAAAAAATTAAAAAATTAAATTAAACAATAACATTAAAGGGTTAAAAGCGAGAAATTGTTTTATATTATGAAAAATATTCTGTAAACAAAAATTTTGTTGCAGGATATTATTGCTCTTTATTTAAGTGTATTTTCTTAAAAGAGATAATTTACCTTGCAACTAATATGGTAATTGTAGTAGTAATACTGTATTATTACCCAATTAGGCTTGTAAATGTCTAATATTACTAAATATATTTAGTATTATGGTAATACAGTAGCGAGGATAATGTCAGAAATAAGAGATCCACACTCACACACAGATTGAAATATTACAGATTTTTATCAACACAATACTGGTAAAAAATAACGTGGTAGATATGCCAATATGTTTGCCAATTCTATGAAAGCAAGGCAGTTTAACAAAATGATTTTAAACCGCTGTTGAGTATTTATGTGGCACAATATACTGCTATTTATTTTACTGCTGGGTGGACTTCGAGCTATTTTTTTTGGGCATTCTTACATATACATGATCGCGTTACACTGTAACCCTGGTGTCAGAAATCCCCATTCCTGTTTTTATTTTCTCAATACACAGAAATTTCCGTAATCTAAAATATTATAACATAAAAATGTCCTTTAAAAAATATTGAGCGATCCTTAATTGATTTTCTATTTTGTAATAAAAAAATATTAAGGTTGGTCTTCTAAAAAAATAAGTATATATAAACTTGGATTTTAAATATAAATTATGAATAAATTAAAAACAAAATTTTTTATCTAATGAAATATCAAATCCTTTTCCACAAATAATAAAAATTAATAGATTATAAAAGAGAGGAAAATAATAATTGAATGTGAAGGGCATAAAAACTGTGTGAAGGAAACAATTCTCTATTTTAGTTGATAAGAAGAAGAAAGAGAGATTGTAAAATTTTTATGTAAACATACACATATACTACATACTTTTAATTAATTTCTGACTCAGAAGTCGTTTTATTTTTAACATTTTCACCATCATGTCAGTCAAAAAAGGCCCGACACGTTACTGTCAACAATGGTGACAAAACAAAAGTTATTAAAATGGTTCCCGCCACCGCGACCATTTTTAGTATAACAAAAAACATTTACAAGTACCATTTTAACAGGTTTCTAAAAATCAGAACAATCCCGTTTCACCGTCGAAATTTTTCCCGACTTATCTATAATAACTGTTAGTCTCTCAAAATAGTAAATGTATACATTCCAAGAATGACTGACGCGGTAATTTTCGAATAGCTCTTTGTCTGGTTGAAGTTTTTTCTTAAAACAATTTCTTAGTTCATTTTTTCAGGTATTTTTGACTGATGACAAAAAGGGCTTAAAATTGTTGTTTTAGTGAGAATGTTGATTGATTCAATTACAATAATATTTCGTTATACGAGTACCAAAATATACATAAAATCTATGACAGAAATTTCTTAGAACTTTTAGCAATAATATATTGTATTTGCAAGAAATTTTCTATGAAATTTCCAGTAAGTTTTGCTTTAAGTTGTTAGGTTTTCAATTGTTTTAGAAAATTCCGAACTTAGTCAAGTGGTCAGAGAATAAGTTGCGTTCTGGCAAACAAATTTTAAATTAAAATTTTTGTACGGTTTTTAAAATTATGTTAAAAAGCTATGTTTAAAAAAATTGTTTAATAAAATTTTATAAAGTTCCTGTAAACCAAAATACTAAAAATTTGAATTTTTTTTTTTTACAAAATAGATACGAGTACCTATATATTACAAAATTTTTAGTTATACTTATAGGAATCAAACTATTAAACCGTGCACTCAAATTATTTGTATTGTAAAATGTCTACAAATTGTTTAACAAATTTTTGGGCAGAATTTAAAATCGTTCAAAAATCTTGTTTAACATTAAATATTAGTGGTTTTTTATAACGTTATAGTAACGGGAAATGATATTATGCATCTTATTTTCTGACCTATATATTTAAAAAATAAAACAAAATTCCGTGACAAAAATAATATTTGATAGCCCCCCATATCTTATTTATTTTATTTACATATTTTCCATCTGCTGTTTCTACACACAAAAAACCAAATACTATATATTGCTATTAAATGAATTTTCCTTTTCCAAATTTTCCAATTTTCTGTTTTTTTTTTACCGTAAAGTATATGAAAAAATTAATGTTTTTTGAAAAAATCGGGATTATTAGTTTTGTTAACGCAACTCTCTATTTTTTTTCAAATATCATTCATTTATTTGTAAAGGAGGAATGTGCATATATATGTAAGTAGATGTAACTGATTAAATGATGTCACATTAGTTTTTTATTGTCACCTTAATTCCGTTTAGTTTAGAAATTCCACCACTATGTACTTTATTTTGCTGATATGTTTTAATGTATTCATTTTGAAAATTACACTTAAACACGATCTTCATTTTATATATAATCGTCATTTTACTATTATTTTACTACTATACTTGATATTGATGAATAAGTTAAATATTTTATGTAAGCCTAGGTATACTTATAAATAATTTTATCCTGTTTTTAGTTTATAGTTGAATTGCATAAATTTATTTTTAAGGAATCGAATAAAGTGGAACAATTTAGAATAACAATTTACAACAAAAATATAACATGTAAATGGAACATTATTTCTATAGTATTATGAAAGGAACACTTTCAAATTGTATATTCTTAAACCCCTTGATTAATTTACCCCAAGATATTTATTAAATATATATGTATACATATATGTACAATTTTATAGTGTAATTTTACTTATATATGAAAGTAATTGAAATTATTTACAAAAAATAAAGTATAGTATTTTGAATATGAATATTAAGTAAATAAAATGTGAAAACATACATATATGTATATTCACCAGAAAAAGAAACAGGTCAGTATGTTACACATAAATCAGTCGAATAAATTTTTATTTAAGAAAATTAACCTAATAATATAAAAGGCTCAAAAACATTTTGTATTTGATTTTTTTTTGCAAAAAATTACAATTAAATATTTGAATAAATTCGGTAATTCTCGAACAAAATAAGAATAATTTCAATATGAAAACGTAGACTTCATATTAAATTACGTTTACATGAATAAATTCAAGTACTAAGATTTAATAAAATACAAGACATTTTATTTGGTACGATAACAACCAAAAATTTGTTTTAGGCAAACTAGAACAGAAAAAAAATATCTTCTTCACATGAAACTAAAAGTGCCTAAGTGCGTTAAAATTCGTATGTTAAAGAAATGCTGACATAAGAATTTGAAAGTATTCTTGAGCCTAGAAGACCACTCTAATATTTATTAATGTATATCAAGAGTTTATATACAGAATTCATTTAGAACACTTTGGAAACACCTAGCACAATACATAGATTGTATTCCTATAATATGAATTAAAACAATTTCAAACTAAATTTTTTTACAAAAAACATTCTCGAAATTGTATAATGCAATTGAAATATAAGAGTATTTTATTTATTAAGTCACATATACGCTATAAATTTCCCTAGATAAACCATTTGTCGAATATGTTAAGACTTCCATGCGTAACTATTTTGATTATTTAGTACACATGTGAAAATTAATATTTTAATAATATCTACTCTATATAAATTTATTTAACAAATGAATAATTTTTACAACTTTAAATTCTTAATACTTTACAAATGAAATGAAACACTACAATACAAAAAGTAAAATTAAACTTAAATAACTCCTACACCAACCATATACATATGTACATATTTGCGAATAAAAACATAGAAGAATGAAAATCCGATTAAAATTGTCGTCTGGCTCAAGCTTAACATAACACCATAGAAAAAAACAAAGTATTTATGTAAAAATTAAAAAATTTTTTAAGGATTCTTTTAACAATTTACAAAAAAAAAGTGTTTGTCTGCACAAGTCAATGACTATATGCCAAAATAATAATGAAATTCATAATTGTATAATTAATGAAAAAATCATTAATTTACAATATTGTTATATAATTAAAAAACAAAAATCAAGAACTTCAAATTTCAACTCCAATTTAGCTCTCTGGTTTTGGACATTACTTCAATGGGACATGTCTTTTTATTATCGTTTTCTCCATGTGATTGTGAACCATGGCATGTATATACACAATATTTATACACTCAATATACAATTTTTTTTCTGGCAATACATTCAGATACCTCTTTCATTTCTTCTTTAATATTCAATTACCTTTCAGGGCCTGTATATTTTGCTGATATCTAGCCACCTTTTCAAAAGACAATGCAAATTATTTGTTGTGTCTTTATGTTACAGTCTCAAAGTAGTACTTTTTCGTCCTTATTGCTTGATGTCGAAGTGTTCAAACCGCCCAAAAATCTATACCAAGTGCTGTTCTCTCCAACCCAATACATTTATTGTTTTAGTTCTTCAAAATTATGTAACATTGAGTTGACATTGAACGTAACTGAAATAATTTTTAGTAATAATTTTTAAAACATCTATATTACATTTTAAAATAAATTTGAATATTTCAAAAATTTAAAACTATTTCAATTCACATAAGACATAAATACCTACAAAGAATCAAATTTTCTACAAATCCGGAATGACATATTGTCTTCAAGGACAATTTGGTATAACATTAATTGAACAAAATATATTTAATTTCATTAACGCCAACCTCGAAATCGTATATACATATGTGTTTAAGAAACATATATAATAGTAAGTATACATGTAATTATGAATTGATTGCAAATTGTTTAATTATATGTTTATGCACACTGTGTGTGTATAGCATGTACCTAAACAAACACGACTATTTTTCTTTTGTTTTTTGCTTCATTTACTTTTCCAGCCATATAAACTTAAATCTTATATTTTTACCGTAAAAAAGCATAAAAAAAAAACAAATTTGTCTTCTTCCTGTCTTTAAGTGTTCTTCGGACCTTATAAAATTTGTGTATAAACTCAAGTAATTTGATATTTTTGTTTTAAAAAAAAACAAAATATAGTTTAAATTTTTCCTTGAAAATCCTTTCCTTTTATTCTCAAAATTCAAAATAAGATTAAATTACGTTCAAAATTAAAAAAAAAGGAAAAAAACTTTATTAATATCAAATTTAATTATTAAAATATAAACGAAAAATTAATTAAAAAATTTGTTAAAAAGTAAACAGCAGAACTGTCCGTTTGGGAATTGAGTCAATTTTTGACATTTGTACATAAATTATAAACATTATTACTTTATTTTAGTGGTAGTGAAAATTAGGTTGATGGTAGCTTCATGAAAATTATAATCGTATCAAATATTGTAGTTTTTTGTTATAGTTTTTTGAATTTCGACTAGTGTTGGAGAACTATTGATCAATGTTTTCGATATATCGTTGCAAAATTATCGTAACATATCATATATCGATAGTTCTGTAATATTTGTACAAACTGAATGGTATAATGTATAGTATGACTGCCGTGAACGTGACTGCCATGGCGTCATACCGCCATACTAGCACTAAATTGAAAACCGAATCACTTTAACATTTAAACTTAAGCTCAGTACTCAATTGACATTGTTAAATTTCAATGGAAATTAATGAACGGGGGAGAACGGATATAATATTTCTTTTAATAAATACATTAAAGTGATATACAACATTTTTTATAATCTTATGAAATTTTTATTTAATTACTTAGACCAAATATTTATAATTTTTTAATTAAAAATTAATGATTTTGTGGAGTATTTAAATTAAGCTTGAAATTAGTTTTTAAATATTTCATTTAGTATTTCCATATATATATATTTGCTTATTTTTTTTTCATATTGATAATTAATTCATTCTCTGATGATTAATTTTTAAATGGGTGAATTAATAAAATCATTAAAGAATTTTTTTTTAAAATCAAAATTATGTATATATGTATGTTTGTTTGTATAATTATAATTTATGTGATTACAACATATGTTCATTGTTCACCATCATTAATAAATTGGTTTTTTTTCTTACAAGATACTTGAAAGAAAATATCATATTTCATTAAATTTCATCGTCATATAAAATTTATTTAAAAATCAAAATGAAAATAAAATTTTTTTTTTATAAAAATTTAAAAAAAAAAATTTGACAACTGCATTTGTGATTTTAAAAAAAAAAACTTGATTTGGAAAATTTATTTCCAAAAATCTAAATTTTTCAAAATTAATCAAAAACCCCTTGAGGTTCTTAGTTTAAGTTAATACTGCCTGTGTTGTGTAAAAAGTGTAAAAACGGGTTGTTGAAATTTTTTTGAAAGTGCAAAGTTTTTAAGGTTGCAAAATTTTGACATTGACATTTATTGCAAAAAAAAACATTTTAAGGGCCATCTATTGTGCTTCTCATTTATATTTATTTTAAAAATGTTGGCACCAAACATTCGTCAAATATTTTAATAGAATCTTTTAATAATCGGTGTATTATTACACTAGATACATACATATACATACTATGCATTTAAGTAAATACAAAATTCGCAAATATTTATTAAGAAAAATCTATTTTTTTTTTTTAATATGAAAAAAGACTTTTATATTTTGGCCTTTGTCATTTTTTTTTATAAATTTTAATTTACCATATAAACCAACAAATTCAATGTGGTATTAAAAATAGAGTTTAAGAAACAAAATTTTATAATCGCATAATGCGCGCGGTTAATAAAATGAATTTTGATAGAAAATCAAATACTTCATTCTTACAATATTTACACAAACAACACATTTACAATAAATAAAACATACATAAATTTCCACAGTAACTTTGGATCCTTTATGAAAATAACTCATACACAAATTTTTTTTTCTTATGTGTAAGCAAGCATTGGATTGCATTCATGCATTCATATTCTTAACAAAAAAAAAGAAAGAGGGCTCCCTACATAAATCCACGAATAATTGCATTTCAACTTGAGCAAAACTCAGAAATGCAATTTTTTTTCTTTTCTGGTTTAATGTTTTGTAACAGAATTTCAAAAAAAAACAAAACAAAAAGTAAACAGAATAAAATAATTGAAGAAATATATTTTCCTTGCGTTTTTATTATCAAACCATGAATTCCATCAAATAAAAAAAAATAAACAATTTTTTTTTTAAAGAATCTACTTGAACTTTTGATAAAGAGTGCCATTCATAATTTAAAACAATATTCTTATACATACCAAACAGTTATGTAACAAATGGGAGTTACATATTTTACATTTAAATAATAACGTGTGTATATACTTATTTACATGTAATGTATACTTATTCTAATGGAATTTATATGCCTACTTATATTTACATATTAACATTGTGGTCTCCCTATATTATCGTATTCATTATATAATTCTGAAAGGTATGAAATCGTACACATAAAAACATTCTTATATAATATCAATGCGTGCAAAAGCATACAAAAAGCATTCCAATCAAAAAAAGGAAATAATTTTTAAAATGTAAGAATTCTGAAATTATTATGGCATTAAAAAGTAAAATTAGGGTAGTGAATGAATGAATAATAACAAAAAGTTTTTTATATTCAACTGGTATCCTTTTAAAATGAGAAGTGAAAAAAAACACGCATTTTAATAATTAGTACAAGATTTAAAAGAGAAAAAAAAATCTAATTAAATTGAGAATTCATAACGCACTTTAATTAACTGTGTAAGAATTACTCTTTTTTATTCCTTTTATTAAAAAAAGAAAAATATTTTAATTAAAACATATTGAGGTTGTTTTATTAGATTGCATTATAAATGCTGTAAAAATTGTATGTAGATGGTATGGAGTAATTGTATGTACTTCAATGTTAAAAAAAAAATTTTTTAATATTACCTTAATTCTTCAACTTTATTTATTTCTATAGTATGATATAACATCTATACTACAACGATATCTATAAATTAATTAATTATGCTTTTAAATTGAAATTCAATTGATTTCCAATTAATACAAACTGGCAATACTGTAAAACGATTTTTCGCTTTATTTACTATTGACATTTAGAATCTTTGACATTAATTTAAACTTATAATAACGTTATTTATTTCACTCTTCTTCTTTGTTCTCAACCTATATTTTCTTTGGTCAAAATTTTCGAAATTGTATTCTCATATCAGCTATTCATAAAAATTTATTAATTTTACAATATTAATTATATATACATAGTTATTTAATTATTAATTTAAAAATAATTTATATATTTTCTATTATATTTATATTACAGGTACCTGTTATGTTGGTAATCAATCTGATAAAGCATTACGATTATTAGTTGCGACACCATTATTTTGTTATTGGATTTTTGGATCTGTTAATTTATTTGCTGGTTATTTAGTTTATCGTCGTAATAAAACATTAACTGGTCCAATAACATCATCAACAAATACAAATCATTCAAATATTTTACCATTATCATCATCATCAGTTCCATCATCATCATCACCATCATCATTATCGTCATCATCGTGTATGGCAATTGATATGAATGGTGTTGGACAATTTCTATTTATTTATTGTATACCAAGTGCATTATTATTAATTTCAGTAATATATGAATTTGCAAATAGTGATATATGGTTAAATTTACCAGAACCAAGTAATGAACCAACATTACCAATAAAAGCATCAATGTGGTCATTTATGACACGTGCATTTATGGAATTATTATTAGGTGTTATATCATCAGCATGGGTACTTGGTCCACGTATTTCAACATTATATAAAACACGTTTTGGTCCAAAATATAAACAGACACCAACATCAAAATATCCATCATCAACAGCATATAGTACAGCATCATATCAAACAGTATGTCAATCGGCAACAATAATGACATCTGATAAAATACCAATTAGATATCCATCAACAAGAAAATATCCACAAATGGCATTACCACATCCACCGGCACGTAATAAAACAAGATCAAATGGAAATTATAAATTTTCACAAAATTTAAGTCATTATGGAAATGAAACAGTTTTGTAAAATTCTAGTTATACATTTCTTTAGCATATATACATATATATATGTACGTGTTATACATAACTGTGTAAATTTATACATACATATTTATTATATATTTATGTATATATAAATTTATTCAGGATTAATATATAAAATAAGATTACAAAATTGTCTTAATTTTTATTTTAAGTTATTTGTGATAATTTCTTTTAAGCGCATTTATTGTATATGTTGTAATATTAAAATATCATATTATATATAATTATGTATGTATTGGTTAATTTAAATAGCTTATATAAAAAAATTTTTTAAAACTTACTATTATGCATAAAAACTGTTATCTTGTAAAGATTATCAATTGATTTTAATTTTAAATTGATTTCCTTTTAGTATCTAGTGATTTTAAATTTATAAATATGAATATATGTTGTAAAAATATTTTTTATTTTGGATAATTATTTATTACTTTTACTTTAAAAACAAAAAAACAAAAATTAATATAATTGTGTGTAGGTATTTAAAAATAAGAGCACCAGTGCCATTTAATGAACAACTAAAAAATATTTCTAAATCTATTTTGTAGTTAATATTACATACTTTATGTATTTACATAATAATTAAAAATAATATCAATTTATTGGCAATCACAATTTTTTTTTTTGAATTTACATAAATGATTGTTAATTTGGAAATTGCAAAAAAATATATTAAGTAAAAATAGTACAATCGCACTTTTTATCTTATTAACAGAATTATTAATTAAATTATTAAAAAAAGTATCATAAATATACATACATACAATCACACACAAATTTTAATGTATATCTGCGTATATTTTGTATGTTTACTACTTAATATATACATATACCATACATACTGCTATAAAAAGAAAATGCATAAAAATTTTAAATTGTAAATTTAATTTTTAAAATACACTTTTATTTTGTGATATTACATTAATATTCGAAATAAAATTAAAAATAAATAAAAAAAAAAAATTAAAACTTTTTTAATTTTTCTTAAAATATTGTAAAATATTAGGAAATAAAAAGGAATCTTGTATTTTTATATTAGAATTTAAATATTTTGTATTGGGGTTGAATTTTCGCTTTTTTGAATATTTAAAAAATTCGAATTTACGAGTTTTCCTAACTTTTTTTTATATAGTTGTTCAATTATTAATGAGGTTCCAAATTAGGTATGTATATATCTTAAACTGATAGTAAAATATCCGTAATTAATAATCTTTTCGCCTGATTTTTATTTTGCTCAACAATGTAAGCCATTTAAAAATATTTAATTTTTAAATAATTTTTGAAAACAACTTTCATTGCAACGAAAATAATCCCAAAATTAAGAAAAAAATTTAATACAAACGGGTTTTAATTATTTAACGAGGACAATATGTTTGTTCGCCCCTATTAGCTTGAAGATGGCGTTATATTTTGCACTTATTCAAAAATTCCATTTCGAAACAATTGGTTTCAATAGATTTTTGAAAATTTTTTAATAATAATACATATTTTACCATATTAATATTAAAATGATTTATGCTAACATATTTAAGCCATATTAAATACTTTAAATTAGTTAATGAAAAGTAGAAGCAATAAATCAAAATTTTATAAAAAAAAATTTATTATATTTTTCAACATTAACACAAACTTAAACAGAGTTTTAATATTTTCAAGAGACCTCTGTTGGCTAAAAGATATTTTTGCGTTACGAAAAAAAAACTTTTTCCTCCTCATGGATAGATGGCGCGTTGTTTGTTCAATTTTTATTAAATTAAATATTGATTGTGGTTTGTGTTTACAATAGTTTGATTGAAAATTATTCCGAACCTGTCTATTCGATAAACTAATAAATCGTAAAAATTTTCGAAATTTTATTGTGGACAACAATTTGTAGGTTTGTGTTTATAATAAATATTTCTAATATTTTTTTCTAAAAAATCCACCCAGAGCATATAAAGTTAATTAAGTTCATACATAATAAATACATTACAAATTTAGTTTAGGATCTTAATATGCTTGATGCAACGATATCACACAATATGCAATGTGATCAATCAGTTTTACTGATTATCATTAAGTTTTTATTTAATATATTGGAATATTTATATTTTAAACTAAGTTTTTAAGTAAAACGCGACCTCTGATGGAAAACATTGGTACTTTCCATTTGTTATACAACCCTAGATATTTGTATTGCAACTAATCTTAGTCGGCTCGATTAAGCGAATGTCACTCTAATGTCAACGGAATGTCAATTTCAGAATCAAATGTCATTCTTTTAGATATTTTCTTTTCTTCTTTTCCGCCTCGTGTCCTTTCTGGTAGCCATTGTCGTCGCGTTAGCAATTTTAATTTTGTGGTGTCTACAAATATCGAAATTATTTGTTCAAAATGATTATTTACAAGGATCTTATCTCTGGGGATGAAATGTTCTCAGATACATATAAAATGAAGTTGATCGATGATGTCCTTTATGAAGTATATGGGAGAGTAGTGTCGAGGCGTTTGGACGATATTGTCTTAACTGGGGCAAACCCCTCTGCTGAAGAAGCGGATGAAGGTACAGATGAGGCAACAGAATCAGGAGTAGATATCGTTTTAAATCATCGTCTACAAGAATCGTTTGCATTTGGAGATAAAAAAGCATTTACACTCTATCTTAAAGATTATATGAAAAAATTAATTTCAAAATTGGAAGAGAAATCTCCAGACCAAGTTGACTCATTCAAATCTAACATGAATAAAGTAATGAAGGATATTCTTGGCAGATTTAAGGATTTGCAATTTTTTACTGGTGAATCAATGGACTGCGACGCAATGGTAGCTATGTGTGAATATAGAGAAATTGATGGTAAAAGTGTACCTGTATTCATGTTCTTCAAACACGGCTTAGAAGAAGAAAAATGCTAATTGCTACATAATCATTTAAGCACCACATAATTTATGCTGTAAACTAATTGTCTAAATAAAATACTGTATTTACCAATATTATATTTTGTTCTAAAAATTTATATTAAAAACGATCATTTCATTTTGTATCCAAATTCGTCTTATTTGTTAATATATTTTTATTAGTTTTGAAGAAGTTGGGTTTGGTTGTCTTTGAAACTGTAATGATTTTAATGACCCAATAATCTTTATACAAAAGTGTATGACTCATGAAAAAATTTCATGTATATACATACATACATACCGCACAAATGTATATACATATCTTTACCTTAACCTACTGCAAGAAGATTGCAAGAATTAGTTCACTGACCTATAAAAACAGTTTTATCTAAATTACGTCAATATTGCAGTAGAATTGGTTCTTTGTAATTCATTAAAAATAATTACCCATTCTAATGGCTTAGTTTTTAAGTTTGGATAGATTCTTGTTTAACCAACGCGATTTGAGTATTTAGTACTTGTAATGCATATACATATGTACATGAAAACGAGTATATGAAATTATGTGTTGAATTTGATGCTGTTGCTACGAGAATGCTCGTTTATATACATACATACATATATAATTCCATACTTATGTGAGTTTAGTATGTGAAAACGAGTATATCTGAAAGAAAATTTTGCATACGTACATATTGCATTCTAATGCATCAATAGTTTAGATGATCTAGATTTTATTTCTGTGATAACGTAAAGCTTTCCAATACTCTACGCAACCTTTACCAGAAAAACAAATTTATGCAACTTAAAATTTGATAACTAAAATGAGGAATGAGGGAATCTGTTAGTGAAACTTTTGGTGTTTGCTTCAGGTGCGAAATATAATAAATAGATTACGGCCTACACACACAATTATGAATGAACATGTTTGAATGCTATTCAGCATGTTTGAATATTAAAATCCTTTTAACGTTTAGTGTCACAACACCAAACAAGCATCTTCCCTGATTTTTAACTTAACCCTTGTCAATTAATACTATGATTTCTAAGAAAAATTAAAAGTTAAATGAAAGAATTTTGTAGAATGAAAGATTTGTTGAATGCTCATTGCAATCTAAAATTTTTATAAAATATGTCATCAAATAAATCCTAATTGAGTTATGGGAGTTGAGTCAAATCACTAATATGTATGTTGTTCAAAAATCAATCTGGAAAGAAGATTAAACAATATCATGGAACTGTACCATACATACCGTACTACATAACATTCCCTTATTAGGAATTTAGAATAAATTTTTGGCCACGAACGAGTATCGAATATTTCACACTCGTTTGACAAATTGTGATACTCTAGCCCCTGACATTTAGATTTTTCGATTAATTCTTAATCCTCGGTATCCTCGTGCAGCTATCTGTCAAAAATAGTTTAATTGACTAAAGTTTAGTTTAATTTAGATTCAAATTCTTCTCACTTTTTTCTTGTACCTTAATAAAAATTTACTTATTAAAATGACAATTTATTCAATAATCCGTGGCAGAAATATTTTCAATTCAATTCCATTACGAAATATCAAATATGTAAGTGTTTAAGATGAGTATAATCCATTATGTAAGATACATACATATGTTTAAGATGATAAAAAGTATATTGGTCTTTTCAGGCATTCTCATCTCATACCAAGTTTGCGGAACATAAGCCTATTGAAAAAATAAGAAATATAGGAATATCTGCCCATATCGATAGTGGAAAAACAACTCTTACAGAACGTATATTGTTTTATACCGGTAGAATTGCAGAAATGCACGAGGTTAAAGGTAAAGATAATGTTGGTGCAACAATGGATTCGATGGAATTAGAAAGGCAACGGGGTATAACAATTCAATCGGCTGCAACATACACTATATGGAAAGATCATAATATTAATATTATTGATACTCCAGGACATGTGGATTTTACAGTAGAGGTTGAGAGAGCTCTTCGGGTATTAGATGGAGCAATTTTGGTACTGTGTTCTGTCGGTGGTGTTCAAAGTCAAACACTTACTGTAAATAGACAAATGAAACGCTATAGCGTACCTTGTTTAGCTTTTATTAATAAATTAGATAGGCAAGGAGCAAATCCTTACCGCGTATTATCCCAAATGAGATCAAAACTAAATCATAATGCTGCATTCATTCAAATTCCTATAGGAACAGAAAACAATTGCAAAGGAATTGTAGATTTAATTTCTGAAAAAGCGATTTATTTCGAAGGAATGTTAGGTACAGAGCTTAAGTATGACCAAATACCAAAGGGCATGGAAGCAGAATCAAAAGATCGGCGACAAGAGCTAATCGAACATTTATCTAACGTTGATGAAACTTTTGGAGAATTGTTTTTGGAAGAAAAAGGTTTAACAGAAAACGATATAAAAGCGGCAATTAGGCGAACCTGCATTAAGCGTACTTTCACACCAGTGCTAGTGGGTACAGCTTTAAAAAATAAGGGTGTTCAACCCTTATTGGACGCCGTATTAGATTATTTACCAAATCCAGGAGAAGTAACTAATTATGGTTTATTAGAAAAAACAGCAGATGAAATAGAGAAAGTTAATTTGAATCCAGCACGAGATGGTAAAAGCCCTTTTATGTCACTTGCATTTAAATTGGAAGCTGGCAGGTTTGGACAACTTACTTATTTACGTTGTTATCAGGGAATGCTCAAAAAGGGAGATACCATTTACAACGCAAGAACTTTAAAAAAAGTGAGAGTGGCTCGCCTTGTACGTTTACATTCTAATCAAATGGAAGATGTAAATGAAGTATTTGCAGGAGACATATTTGCGCTTTTTGGGGTTGATTGTGCGAGCGGTGATACATTTGTGACAGATCCTAAACTACAATTAACAATGGAATCAATGTTTGTACCTGAACCAGTTGTTTCCATGTCAATTAAACCCAGTAATTCCAAAGATCGTGATAATTTTGCAAAAGCTATTGCTCGTTTCACAAAAGAAGATCCTACGTTTAGATTCGAATATGATCCAGACATTAAGGAGACACTAGTTTCCGGAATGGGTAAGGGTTGTGCAAATCAATATATGTAAATAATGATGCCAAATATGATGAAAAATCTTATTTTTCCGTTTTCAGGTGAATTGCATTTAGAAATTTATGCTCAACGTATGGAACGCGAATATGGATGTGCGGTTATTTTAGGGAAACCAAAAGTAGCTTTTCGAGAAACTTTAGTTGCTCCTTGTGAATTTGATTACTTGCACAAGAAACAATCTGGTGGTCAGGGGCAATATGCTCGAATTATTGGTATTATGGAACCCCTACCTCCAAACAAAAACACTTTACTAGAATTTTCTGACGAAACTATGGGAACTAATGTTCCCAAGCAATTCGTCCCTGGTGTTGAGAAGGGTTTTCGAGAAATGGCCGAGAAAGGGCTATTGACTGGAAATAAATTATCAGGAATTAAATTTAGACTTCAAGATGGTGGTCATCACATAGTAGATTCCAGTGAACTGGCTTTTATGTTAGCTACACATGGTGCTGTAAAAGAAGTTTTTCAAGCAGGATCTTGGCAAATTTTGGAACCAATAATGTTTGTTGAAGTTACTGCTCCCGAAGAATATCAAGGCACAGTTATTGGTCAGTTAAATAAAAGGCATGGAATTATTACTGGAACCGATGGTGCAGATGGTTGGTTTACAGTTTATGCTGAAGTTCCATTGAACGACATGTTTGGATATGCTGGAGAATTAAGGTGGGTGCTTTCGGTAAAACAAAAATAAAATGGAAAATCAATTTAACTTATCTATATTTCAGATCGAGTACGCAAGGTAAAGGAGAATTCTCAATGGAATATAGCCGATATTCACCATGCCTACCGGACATTCAAGATCGCTTGATTAGAGAATATCAAGAATCACAAGGGTTGACGGAAGAAAAGAAGAAAAAGAAAAATTAATAAATAGTTTATGATTATAATATTTAAGTCTAAATTTTAGAATTTCTTATAATCAGTTTTATACCACTGTGATAAATTTTGAACAATAAGTTACATCTATAAAAGTAAATTAAACAAATCGAAATTAAATTTTTTTTTTATTTTAACTTATTTTATTTAAAATAAACAAAAATGTTGATCTTAGTTTTGCCTTTCAAAATTAAATATGTATTTTATTCAAGGCATTGAGAGTATGTAATGTGCATGCATGTAAAAAGGTGGCTAAATTTAGAAATTTTATAACACTTTATTTAGTCTTTCCAAATATAAACTGAATTTAAATTTTAACGAAAACATTTTATGGTCAGGTAAAATTATTATGAGTAATTTTTTTTTTTAAAAAATAAATACATATAAGGTTCAAGTTTTTACTGTTTAGCATTAACAATTTGAACAAATTCTGGTTTTAGTGATGCTCCTCCTACTAAGAAACCATCAATGTCAGGTTGAGATGCTAATTCTTTACAATTGGCAGCTGTTACAGAGCCACCATATTGTATTCTTAAATTATCAGAAACATCTTTTGAGACTTTTTCTGCCAACCATTTTCTGAGTGCGGCGTGGACTTCTTGTGCCTAAAATTGTTATTGAGTTATTTTTCCGAAAAGTATTACAGCTTAAAATATTACCTGTTGTGGTGTTGCTGTTTTTCCTGTACCAATAGCCCAAACTGGTTCATATGCTAACACAACATTTGTCCAATCTTTAACATACTTGGCAATCACACCAGTTTGTCTGAATACAACTTCTTCAGTCTTACCAGCTTCACGTTCTTCCAAGGTTTCGCCAATGCATGCGATTACCTTCAAACCTTCAGCAAGAGCATGTTCAACTTTTTCTCCTACTAACTCATCGCTTTCTTTGAAAATTGCACGACGTTCTGAATGGCCAAGAATAACCCAATCTGCACCAACATCTTTTAACTAAAATATTGAATAGGTTTCTTTGACCGTATTTGTAATGAAAAAATTCAAGTTTACCATAGCTGGTGAAATTTCACCGGTAAAAGCACCTTTAGGTACTTTATAACAATTTTGAGCAGCTACTCCAATAGTTGCTGGAAGAAGTGGTTTGGCAAATGTGATGTATAATGATGGACATCCAACTACAACTTCAGTATTTGGATCTAATGGTCCGGCAGATAAAATTTTACATAACTCTGTAATACTGGCCTTGTCACCATTCATTTTCCAGTTTCCACCAACACAAAATTTACGACCCATTTTTATTGTAGTTAATGAAGTTTAGCTAAAAAAACAGTAATGAAAAACAAAATTAACAGAAATAAAATTTCTGACTTTACTGATGGTCTGAGATTTAAAAAATAAATTTTTGTGATAAATTACTTGTATAATCTTATCAATGGTCTCTTAGATGTGACTCTCGGAGGAATTTTAACTCACCTTTCAATGACCTTCGTTTGACATATTTGATATCATATGCTGACGTTTTATTTGACATATTCATTCTTTTTGATATGACGAGCTAATTTGCTATCAATTAGTGCAATTTGTATGAAGCCAATTCGTAAATGAAAGTTCGCTGTAAATTTGACAGTAATTTTGTATGATCTGAATATATTTTTTTTTGTAAATAAATGTCGTTTTATTTGTAAATAAAAGATCCGAAAAGATTTGTTAATATTTTAAGTTATTTTTCTAGTTGTATAACTGAACAAAGCCTGATGTCAAGAAATGTTTACATATACAACTCCATCAAACTCAGAAAAAATCTTAAAGAAAATATTAAACATTTCAAAATAAAGATATTACATTTGAAGTTTCTTTTAAGAGTACTGCGATTCTTTTGCTCACGTCATGAATTTTTTGATAAGATTTTAATAATAATTTCAAAATATCATTAACGATTTAGAATAAAATTTTTCTCATGTTTTTCTCACTTATGTTTCTGTTTTAAGCTGCTAATGTAATAATGAACTTTATTAGAAAGTTAGATTCGATTTGATTGATCTGTGCTTCATCGTATACTTTGATTATAAGATGAAGCACAGATTTTTTGTCAAGAGTTGTAATAACGTTTTTTATCAAACATGTTCAATTATACATATATGTATGTCAGAGGAATAAAAATCAGTTGGTAGTTGACTCTTGACATTACAAAATATCATTTCTGTCAGCCGTTTTAGCTATTCAAAAATTTAACAGCAAATATACTTATAACGAAAATGGAGAATTTATGCTTTTGACGTCCGAATAAATCTTTTGATATGAAACCGCTTGTCATCGGGTTTTGACAGTTTTTTTTTGTTTTTATGTTTTAGAAAATAGTTTTACTTAAACGTTTTTATTACTTTTGTAATATTATGGTTGATTATGATAAAATAAATTTTTTAATGATTTCATTATCGTAACATGAGACGTGAGAAATCCTGTATAGCCTGCCATTTATTTTGGTAGTTATTACTTCGTGTCAAATCACTAGTAACTAATCGGTATAATATCTAGGTAAATAATTAGTTGTTTATAATTTTTCAGCATTTGCAAGTAAATAATAATTTAATATTTTGATCAGAGAATTCACTGAAATCAATTAAGTCAAATTAAATATTTACTTAAAGTCTCAATAAAAAGTCTTGTTCATTGTTTTGTTGTAATATTTTTATATATTTTTTATTCGGTTTTTGTATATATGGTACCTATTTTTATACTTAAAATTAAAATGATTAAAACTAAGAAAATTGACAGAATTACTTAAAAAATATTTTTGAAATTATAATAATTTATACATTAATAAAAATAAAACTATAATTACATTGTCAATAACAATTAATATTTAAACACATTTATAGATTAAAAACTAGTTTACAATGATTACATTATTAAATATAGAACCTTTTATATTTTTATTACACTTTTCATTTTTTTTTTTTAAATTAATTTCTTTCCTTGACTAATTTAATTAGCGATAATAAATTAATTTAAATTTAAATAATAATTTACATTTACATTAAGTAGGTATGTATGTATGCATATTTAAATGACTTCTTTTATAAATTTTTAGATTTTTATTTTGTATTTTTTTTTTGTTTTAGATTACAATTTAATAATAGACGTTCTATTTTGGATTAACATTTTGTATATAAAATACAACTAATTTTCATTATACAATATGTAAGTAATTATGTAATTATTATTATTATTTAATATGAGGATTGAGCAAGAAAGCTTCTTTAGATGTAAATAGCATCTTCTTTATAATATACATATGAATTATTAATGAATATAAAAATAATTTTAAATCATGGTAAAAATATTAAAAATGTTAAAAATTAAAAAATTAAATATTGTATATAGGTAATATGACTAAATGAATACATATTTTTATTAGTAATGAATCACCCTGTTCAATTTATAATATTTTTATATTATATTATTTTTAACAATATAACCGAGTTAAAAATAAAATTTATAAACTATATAGGTATTTAAATTTAAAAAATTTTTATTAATTTTACCAATTAGTAGACTATTAAAATCTTAAATTTTGTTTAAAGTAGTATAAGTATCTAAATTCAATTTTTCCAGAATAGTGCATATTATGATGTTATTATATTATTTTTTCTATTGCTATTCTAATTGGTTGAAATTATTTAAAAAGCGAAAATATGAAATTTTAGGCAATTTATATTTATTATTAATTATATTTCAAAAGACAGCGATTTAAATTATTGTTTCCTAAGAATATGTTATGGTACATGCTATGGAAATTTTTTTTTGAAATCCGGAACACCTAATTATGAACAATATATATTTTAAATACTAAAACTGTTGGAAAAATTTTACTACTATTATTAAAAATGTTTATTGAAAAAGTTAAAATTTTTTCGAAATTGTAAAAATTTTTTAATGTATTAAAAGAAAACCATCCTTTATTCGGAATCGAGTATTTATTACTAGCAGAAATTCGATCATATATTCGATTCCGAATAATGGGAACTTTTCTTTAATAGCCTACATTCAAAAATTTCTATTACAAGTATTTTGTATTTAAAATTAAAAGGATAAATATTTAATTTTTTTTTAATATTAATTATATGATTATTGAATCTGAAATGATTTTGAAAATTATTTTAGGTATAATAATTAAAAAAAATAAACATGTTTAGTATAAATTTTCTAAATTATTTAATGAATGATTGTCATATTAAACTGTAAAATATATAAGTATATAGAAAAGTTATAAAAGTTCTAAATGGGAATACCTACATAATTATTAAAATTATTTTATATTTTTAATTTTAATAAATTATCATATATTAAATATATGTATATATATAGGTATACATAGATGCACATTTATAAATATTAGCACTACAAGCTCGTGTATTGTACACGTATACACATTTTCTTTTTTATTTAATTTTTATAGTAAATATTTATATAATTTATATTATGTAATTACTTTTATGTATTTTTCATAAGAAAACACATTTGAATTGCTTTAAAAAATAAATATTTGAAATTTTAATTTAAAATTTAGTGCTATTTATATTATTTAGTAATTTTAATTTTTTTTTTTTTTGGTTTTTGATATGGTAAAATAAAATTCTTATTATTTTTAATTTGTTTTATTTTGTTAAAATTTTTATTTTTTCAGACTTATGACGTTCGCATATTAATTGTGTAAAAAAATTTCGTTTTTAAAAACTTTATTTATTTCTTACGGAATTGTTATTATTATAACAATTTATTAATTAATTTAATTGTAATTTTTAATTGTTTTTATATCATATAATTTGTATTTGAAATAATTATTACGACAATTAAAATCAAATTAATTGAATTTAGTTTATTTTTAGTTTTGTTTTATTTTTGTTTTGTTAATTTCATAAATAATTGTGGATTCCGATTATAATATTGATATTTTATTAAAAAATATTAAAATACATAATATAATAATTATATATTCTATGTGTATATTATGTACATTTGTATTATAAATAATCTAATCTTAAAATAAATAAATAAAAGAAAATTTACACAATTTTTAAAATAATTATTAAAAAATTTTATTATATATTTTTTGAATAATTTTAAATTAAATTAAAGATTCATGAGATTCACACTGTTGTTTCATTTGAGAGTCCAATTCCTTTCTTATTAGTGTTATATCCACACCAGAATTCCTTTGCTTTACTATTGTTTGTTTTTTTCTGAAAATTTTTAGGAAAGTTTTTTTTTTTGAAATAGTTGACAAAAAAGAAATTTTTCGATTTTTTTGTTATTGTTTAAATACATTAATATTTTGGTTTTAATTTGATTAATATAATTATTAACTAAGAGATTTTCATTGCAATAAGGCACTACATATACAAGGGATATTTGAATTTTTTTCAAATTTTATTGTGGTGTTGATTCTAACAGCAAAATACAAACATGTAGATTGTACATATAAATGTATATATGTATGTATATGTAAAAAAAAAAACAACAGGATAATCGCATCCAATTAATTGTGAAAAAAAGATTTTTTTTAATTATTCTTTCGATTTACAAAATTTATGTATGTAGGTTAAATGCTATGCATATATGATTTTGTAATTCATTTACATTAAGAGTTTACATAAAAAAAAAAATAAATAAAATGTAAAAGAAAAATATTTTAAAAATTGATATTTTAATGAATAAGAAAAACATACATACATACGTGCTTTTGAAATGAAATATAAATATTAATTTTTATTTTAATTTTATATAAAATATGAGAAAAAAAAATACAACAAATATTATTTAGTAGATAATCATTTTTCTTTTATATTTTTCAATTTAATTAAAAATTACATTATTATACGCACACTTCAAATAAATGCAAAGCAAAATTTAATTATTTGGATTTTTTTCCAAAAATTTAAAATTTTTTTTGTTTGATTTATTGATTAATCATATTACCAATGTTTACATATGTAAGTATGTAATTAACAATATAGAATTAAAATCAAAGAATTAGAAAATATTTTTATAATTTTTAAATAAAATTTTCTGAAGTTTATGAATTGAAGCGAATATAATAATATTATTTTAAGATTGATTTCAAATTGACGTACAAATTTTCTAGATTTCGTTTATTATATTTTTAGTATTTACGAAATATTTGTTGAAAATGATTTACATATGTAAACAAAAAAATTTAATTGTTAATGGAACAAAGATTCAATAGAAATCCAAAATAATTTCTTTTTTAAATTGCAAAGCATTTTCGTTTTAATATTAATTCAAAACAATCGTGTATTAATAAATAATTATTATTGTAATTATTATTTATTGTAAAACAGTGTTTTTAAAAAACCAAAAAAAAATTAAAACATACACATACATAAATATAAATATACATTTATGTACATAATATATAAATCAATATAATATAATTTAATTTTAAATAAGTTCTTGGTTTGCATTGGCAGTCAGAAAACATGAAAAAAAAAATTTAATAAAAAATTAATTACCATATTAAAATAATATTTATGTTTTATATACCTTTTTCATTCCTTTTGCATGTATGTATAATATATATATATATATATATGCATTTTATTTAATGTTTAAATAATTATAAAATATGAATACATATAAAAAAAAACATATTTTTATAAGACAAATAATATTATTTATATTCTTCAATTGTATATTTAAATTTAATTCAATTTAAAATAATGTATATAAGTATAAAATCAAGCGTATATACTATCATCGCATGATGTAGTTTCTAAAATAATTTTGTTAAAAATAATAATATAATATATTATATATACCTATTAAATTGTACAGGGTGATATTAATTATAATATACAAAGAAAAATATATAAAAAAAAAATGTATTTTATAATTTAATAAAAAAACAAAATATGTAGTATCTTATGAATTAAAGAGGATATGAGATGTATTGCGATTAATGTGTTTCTCTATAGCTTACTTTACGATTTTTTGTTTTTGATAATACTTCAAAAATATTAAAATGATGAAAAATACTATTTCTATAATTAAATAATAATTATGGTTACTATAGGAAACTAAAATACTCTTTTTTATAATTTAGATACAAAAGTACAGATACTAGATTTTCAATTGACTATATAAGAGTTCAAAACGTTAATATTTAACGCTCATATTGCGTATACTCTTTTTGTCAAAAAAAAGTTTTTCACATTTTTAAATAAATGGAAGCTTATTCGTTTCTTTTTTTTTCTTATACAGATGTATAAAAATTTGTAACTCATCTATCTCATATAGATTCATCATTATTAATTTGGATAGGAAAACAAAAAAAAATTTTATTTTATTTTAATTTTTTGAATAGCTGGTAGATAATTTTAAAATTCATATTATTAAATTTAATAGGTTAAATGAAAGAAAACTGTTTTAAGTATAATAATAACTTTTAAGTGTGTTTTAATTTTAAATAATGGTAAAATAATAATTCTAAAACAAATACCAGAATTTTCATATTTTTAGTATTTTTTGTATTAAATGTCATTAATTTTTCATACATACATCTATTATAAATTTTTAGCTATAGTGCTTTTTCTATATAAGCCTTAATAATTAATTATATTATACTTAAGAACTATAAAAAAAATAAATTTATGTATGTTTTTGAAAATTAAATTGTATTACAATTATATCAAATATTATTTGAATATTAAAATAAGTTTGTATATTTATTAAATTATTGAAAAATAAAAATTGAAAAAAGATAATAATTAAATAATTATTAATTATAATTAACTTCATTAACAATTTACATATTATATGGGTTTAAATTAGAAAAAAAATTGCTACAATTTTGATTATTGAAACTACCGAATTTAATGATTCGAAAATATTCAAAAATAAAAATGTATTTTATAAAATTGAAGAGATGAATTAGTAATATAATATTGTATATTATTATTGTTTATAAATATTTAATTTATATATTTAATATAGATAATTAAAAGGTGGTTTTTTTTTCGTTTTTTTTTTTAGTAATAGGTGGATACCGAACTATTATGTTACCATCTCACGGATATATTTTGAATTCGTAAAAGTTAATGCAATAAATTGCAGAGTAAAAATTGAAGAATTTACAAAAAAATTTATAATGCAGATTTTAGTTAAGGTTGCTAGAATAAAAATTTAAATTATTCTATTTTAAATAGTATAACGAACCCTTAAAAATTCATTGTATGGAAAAGAAACAAATGTTTCAATTTTGAAAATGGAATTGTAATAAAAATACACCAACAATGATGTAATATGATTAACAACATTCCTAGCCTATAGTTGGAAAATATAATTTATAAGTTAACTGCAAAGTAGCATAACCTGAATTGAAGATATCATAAATTTTAATAGCTTTTAATGATTGAAAGATGATTAAGTTGACTGATTGAAAAAATATACTGCATCGAGTGACCATAAATGTAACTGGCCATTAATGTCATATCATATTTGGGAAAAATATGTTCAGCTCCAAACAAAATATGAATTAAACATAAAATATGAATCATAAAAAATACAATATAAATGAAAGTTTTTAAAATATTTTTAATTTTATCAAGGAAATTTTTCAATAAGTGAAATAATGAGCTGCATTGATGAAAAGGTAATGGAAATAAAATTTTGTTTTTATATTTGCTATCAATTTATTATAAAGTTTTTTTTTTTAGTGAAGAAAGCTGTGATTATTGGTCTTAACTTTATTAAATTGTTAATTTCAAAAAGAATTAATAATCAATAATTGGCAACTTTTGCAATAAAAAATAATCTTTAAATTTTATGTTTTAGCAAGAATATATTTTAAAGTGTTCCTATAGAGATTATCGAGCAATATTTGTTGGGAACATGAAAAATATGAAAAATAATTATGCAGGGTCAGGTATATTAATTTGTTTTTGATCTTGCAATGAAATCAGAATTTTGAAAAAAAATCTATTAATAAAAATTATAGTGCTTCGAATATAAATTGTGTATAAATATATGCATTTAGGATATAATATTATTCAAATATTTAAATTAAAGTAAATTTTTTGTAAAAGTTGTAAAATATTTTCTATATTATAATAAAAAATAAGAAGAAATTTATATAAAATCTTTATAATTAATAAGAATAGGTATTAAAAGATTTTTAACAATTTAAATTTGTAATATTTTTGATTATCAATATATTTAAAAAAAAGATAAACTTAACGAATTAGTCATCAATTATCAATAAATTTTAGGGTATTCGTTTGATTTTATAAGAAAATTTGAATATCAGTTTTTTTTATCTTTAATTTTTTTATTTATTTTCATTTACAGAAGAAAATCGCTTACAGTTTAATTGACTACAAACATTTTGATTTTAATTGTAATTTAAGTATTTTTTGTTAAATTTTGGCTGGTAAAGTTTGGATGGCTTATTAATTTTTGTATATTCTATTATATTTTCATTTTTAAATGGAATTTTTTTGTTTTTTAGTTAATTATGTATATAAATGTTATTTAATATTTTGTCTTTTGGAATTTTAAAATTGTTTTAATTTGTTTTAATTTGACATTATTAAGTACAACAATTGTTTTTTTTTGTTTTAATTCTAATTTAAATTCATGTACAAATTTCTCTATTTTGTAACATTATAATTTTTGATCACAAATTTAAAAGAAAGGGAATAACAAAAATTAATAAAATAATATTTATTTTTTTTTTTTACATTTATAGATTTGTTATATGCTTATTTTTTTTCTTAATGATATATTTTAATTATTTAAGTCTGTATTATTACTAGTTGAATATTGTTGAGAATCTGTAATGCTATTTTCATCAATATCTTCAAAATTTGAAGATTCTTCAAAGTCTTCTTCAGTCATTGCCGAGAGTTGGCTAGTTCCAGTTGTTTCTGAAGATTTTTTTAACTCACTCGAACTTCTGCAATAATTTTATGGTTTTTTTGTTTTTATATTTTCATTATTTTTTCATATAGGTATGTAAGACTTTGTTGTATAGTCATTTTTGTAAATTCTTTTTTTTTTTCTTTAGTTTAATTTTTATATTTTACAAATAACTTTAATAACCAAAAAAAAAAAGAAAAATAACAAAAAAAATTTAACCTATTGTCAAAAAAAAAACATTTTCTTATATAAAAGCATATTTCGTAGAAAATAAGACCTAATTTTTTACTAAATAGATGTTATATATATATAAATAGATTATATACATTTTGAAATTTCATTGTATTAAATTATTGAAGAAATATTGAAATTTATTAAAAAATAATTGTTAAAACTAAAAATTTACCACATCTTCATGAAATGGATTTACATTTACTGTAGGTCAATATGAAACTATATTTAGTTGAAAAAACAAAAATTGGAATATAAATTCCAATTTTTATAATAATATTAAAAATATTTTCTATTTTAAACACGATGTTTTATAGTTCTACAGTACTACATTTTTTTATAGTTCTATAGTACTACATTTATTTAAAATTACAAAATCTTATAAACAAAACGAACTGCGGCAATATCATTTAAACTAAGTTATACATATTATAAATAAAATATACCAGATTTAGGTTCTCACAAGCAATTTGTTTCTAAGAGAGTCTTTTTTAAATGGACTGTAAACCGTTTTAATTAAAAAACAAAATTTATTTCTTTACAAGCCATTTTTCAAAGCAAGTTTGTAACATTATATTCTGTGAATAATAAAATTATTAAATTTTATAATTTGGTCTAAATTATAAACAAAATTTTTAAGCGATAAATATATAAAAAAATCATCAATAAAAAAAATTCATAATTGTAATATAAAATTCTACATATACTTTCTAATAATTAATCGTTTTTTGTATTTCATGATAATTTAAAAAGTTTTCAATTTAAATTTTAATTAAATGGAAACAATAATTATTTAGCATTATTAACAATCAAAAATATTTATCTACTTATTAAAAATACTTATTTGGTTTTTATTTTATTTAAATATAAAGTTTAACAGTTTCTATACTATGTAACGTTTTAATGTAAATATAACAATAGAAAAGCAAAACGAATAATTAAAATTATGCATAGAATTAAAAAAATAAAATATGTGATTCAGTATCAAGAATTTCTGGTTTGATAAATTAAAGTTAAATAATTTAATGAGATCTCACATCTACGGATATTCTTTGATACGTAAATATAAATTTAATATCATGTCGTATTGTAATTCGTTATGAGTTAAAATGAAGTTGAATTGTAAATTGTAGATTTAGAAATAGATGTTATAGAATCGGACATAAAATCAATTTGTGATTTGTTTAATTTTTTGTATTAAATTTGATTTGTTTTCATTTAAGATTTAGCTATTGGATAATAAACATGCTGCAATTTCATTCAAAATTTTTTAAATGACTTAAAATTTTAATATATGATAAATAATTTTATATTTATTTTAGGTATTCAAAAGTGATACGGGGGAGTAATCGTATGTCATTACAAATAACGCCAAGCAGATATAGAAACAGCTATTAAATGAGGTAGCCACTAAGGAAAAATTGTTTTTTACGCGAAACAATTTTTGTTGTTTAGGCAAAACTATACAGCGATGCATGTGTTTCAAATGATGATTGTGGGATAAATTATAAACCATGTAGCAAGTTTTATGAATTTATATGCTTACTGAAGTCATTTTTTTTTTAATAAAAACTTGTATATAAAGGATATATTGTGTAAGGATTTGTGATACTGAATTGTCAAATATAAATTTCTTAAATTCAAAAAAAAAAATCAAAAAAAATTTATAATTATAATTATTTTTTTAAAAAGTAAAGCAAAGCATTTTATAAAATATTGAACCTTAAGTTAAAAACAAAAATAATATTAAGTATTAAAATATTGTGATTTTCTTTTAAAAATTCGAAATAAGATAAAATGAACAATAGCATTTTTTAAAAGATAAAATTTAAATTGCGGGCATAATTTCATTTCCTCAAAATTTAAAATAATTTAAAATTGGTTTTTTTTTCTTATTTTTGAATTGCTTTCACTTACTGAACTTTCATAGAGCTTGGAACTGAAATAGTTTCCGTTGCAGTTGTTGCCAATGTTGATGATGATGACGTTACCGTTTTATTTCCTGATTCTCCAGCATAATCGTTACTTAATTTATACTGTGCTTTTTGATTATCTTTATTCACTTGTTTCCATATTGTTGTTTTATTAACTTCTTCAGATATGTTAATAGGAGTTTGTGTTATTGCACCATTAGCTAATGTTACAGCAATATGAATATTACTATTTGATGCCAGATACGCATTATTCACATGATGTCCATTATCCTTTTGAATGTTTCCGAATTGAAATTTTTTCATAATAATTTTGTTTTTTTTTTTAATTTTTGTTTGTTTTTGATTTAAGTATAATAGAGACAATATAATAATGATAGTAATATAGTATTTCAGTTTACGATTTTCAAGTAAAGATTATTTAAATAATAAAAAAAAGGAGAAGATATAGAAAGAAGAAAGGAAATAAAAAAGAAATATTTAGAAGTAGATTAAGAATTTATTAAAATTTTTATTAATTTGAAATGTTAATAATGTTAGTATATTAATATACCAGAAAAAATTAAATATTTCTGTAATTGATATAGTTGTTAAGTAATTAAATTTTTATGTAAGAGGTTCATTGCTGACAATTAACATTCATACTGTGTTCTTTTTTCTTTAAGTGAAAATGTAATAGTAAACGTCTTTTTGCATGTTAGACAATAAATAGTATAAGTATTGGAGTCAAGAATTAAATGACCTTTAGTTTTGGTTTGCACATTAAGAATATTGTGAAAAAAGTAATAGAACACTACCCGAATTTCATCAGACGAAATCCCTTAACAATTTTTTGTGGTATTAAATTAGTAATACTTTTGGTTAGAGCTCAATATAAAGTTTGTTACTTTCCACTTCTTTGCTTGTACATTTCTCGTTCAATTCATATTTATTGAACAATTTTAACCCGACCAACATAATTTATATTACTACTTGTATATATACTTTTAGTCAATTCATTTCAGAATATTTTCGTTTCTTATGACCCACATAATTTTTTGTTAATTTAATTGAACAAAATTTGAATTTAATAAATATTATTTATTAAATAATTATATTACACGAAGTTGCTTGAATCAATTACAGATTGTATTTCTACAAATATTCCATTTCCTCCCATAGTGCCACATAAAAAATATATACACTATCAATGCTTTTATAAAGCTGTATATTATACGAGTATATGTATAATTTCGGGTAAAAATTCTCCTTTTCCAAAATTATAGAAAACGAGAAAAAAATCAAAGTAAAAACCTTTCCCTTTGTGCAATTCAAAAAATACTTTCAGACTTTGATTATTAAGCTTAAGTGTAAAATTTATTCAAAAAAAAAAATACCCTATAAACCTATTTAAAGTGCTGATAAAAATTTGTACATAATATATAATAAATAATTTTCTGAAAAAATAAAATGTTTTGTAATATAAATAAATTTTGCAAATTTCCTTCTCTTTGGAAATCCTTTTTTTTTTTCTTTTTTTTTTTTAGTTCAAGAAAAAAGTTAGTTTTGCATTGTATTGTAAATTTTATTCATAAAAAATTTTGAGTCAAATTTTTCTAAAATAAAAAAATAAATAAACTATATATACAAAATTTATAAATTGAAAAAAAAAAGTATTAAATAAAAATTTAATAAATAATATTAAAATTTTTTTAAAGTATGAAATTTTAAAAGAAAATATTAAAATAAAACAATAAAGCTGCGAACATGATTTATAAAAATATTTAAAAAAAAAATCTTGCCAAAAATGTCACCATTATAATTGTCATAAAATTGTACATAATTGCCATCTAGCGTTAATTAATAGTTTTCTATTGAACGAAATTTATCGATTTTTTTTTTTCATATAGTGCTCTGAAATTTAAATGCGATTTGTTCTAAGAAAAAAATATATATCGAAAAATCAAGTATGTATCGAAAATGAAACAAAACTAAATCGAAACTTAATGTATATATATTATATTTTCATTGCAATTATTTGATTACTATTTTTCTAGATTAAATTTACAAAAAATTATTTTTTTCTTTATTTAAATTATTTTTCTCTTAAATTTTGTTTTTAATTGTTATGGAATGATGTTCCTTATTTTGGGTATTTATTTTTTTTACTTATGTAAATAATTATATTATCTATTTCTGTTTTTCTATTCTTATATTCTACGTTTTGTTTGTTTATTCAAATATAGTAACATATAAAAGCCAATTCTATATTTATTGTTTATTTAATTAAATTAATACAATTTTTTTTAATCTTTTGTATTTTCTAATCTTTAATTATTATTATTATTTATGAGCAAAATTTTTCTATGGGAAAGTAAAAATAGAAAAAAGTAAATTAAAATTATTAATTCAATTAAATAAAATTTTTAACACTATAAAACAGTTTTGCAGATTTTAATTCAGTGTTATGTAATAAAAAAAAATTTATGAAGTGAATTTGTTTACCAACACCCCTGGTATTAAACTTTTTCAAAAAAAAATTAAATTTTTATAGAATAAAGAATCAAAAATTAGTGAATTTTGTGTTGTATTTATATATTTTCTTAACACTTTATTAATATAAATATTTTGGAAATATAATTGAAGGCACAAGAATGTTAAAGGTTTGGTTTCGAAATTTTTATTATAATGTGCATATCATAATTTATGTATATTTATTGAAATTAAATTCATTCTGCATGCAAAATTAAATTTTAGAATTTCATCTAAATTTATTTGAATAATTATTAGAATTGAAAAAGTGTACATGAATTTATTAAGACGCATGAAACCAGTATTGATTATTGATATTGAATGTTTTGAAGTACAGATGTTTTAAGAGTTTATGAAACCATGATGATTATTTAAAAATTTCGACATTAATATTTAATTTTTGGATTACAAAATTAAAAATTTTATTTTGATTTATAATACATTAATTTCTGTATTGTTTAATTATGTAATTATTGACAATTGATTAAAAGTATTTAATTTTTGTATTTTAACATAATTGTGATGATATTTAAAATATCTCAGGGTGTTTATAAATTACAACACAAAGTTCGCTATACATTTTCTCATTTTTAATATAAAAAAATTTTTTACACCAAAAATTATTTTTATTAATTTTCAATTAATATTTCGTTTATAAGATAAAATTTTTTTTCTATGCAATTTTAATATGAATATACATTTGCTATATATGTATGCGTTTATTTTTAATTAATATTAATAATTTCCAATATTATAATTATGTATCAATATATATATATATATATATACAACATATTTTTTTTAACTAAGTAAATTTGAGTTTTTTACGACTCCTTTCGCCCAAATATATAAATTTATGTTCTAAAATTTTAATTTTTTCATATTTCAAAAATAAAATTTATTTATTTTTTGTTGGTAGGTATTTAGTTTCAATTTTCCAGTATATTTACAATATTTTATAATTATTATTATATTTAGATATAGGAATATCATTAATATTTTTAATGCAATATTTATGATTTCAAAATAATATTATTAAAATAATTTTAATATTTTTGTTTAAATAGCAAAATAATTAATTAATATATGAAATCATATTTTATTAAATGATTTTATATTTTAATATTGGTGAAAATTTGAAATAAAATCTATTTTATTATAATTCAAAGTGAATATTGTACATAATATAAAAAATTATATATTTTTTTAATTATAATAAGAAATTTCGTTGGGGTATTGTTTATTTGAGTAAGCATATAATATTATATTTATTTTTATTGGCGTCGATTTAAATTACAACTTCTATTAAATAACTATTATATTATATATACATTTAATTTTTACAATAAAATAATAGTAATTAATATAATTATTATTTTATTTTGAAAATTATTAATATTATGTATGTAAATGAAAATTAATAATAATAATAAAATGTTATTAATATATTTTGACACAAAATTTATAATAACTTATGGTGGAGTTTTTTTTTTTCTAATTATATAATATAAGATGTGCGCTCAATTTTGTATATTCAACTAAAAAAATAATAATTATTTTAAATTATTAACAGTTTTGTAAATAAATTTTAAAAAAAGTATATTTTATATACATAATATATTTATTATGTATATACTATAATATTGTTAATTAAAAAGAGATGATGAATTGTTTTGTATATAATATTATATTTTATTAAATATAATATTATATTTAACTAGAATACACATAATATAAATTTAACTAAATTTTTATACATATAATATGAATTTTTATTCACATATAACATTTTTTATGTTATATATGTGAATTTTTATTCACGTATATAACATAAAATGTACAAAACTAAAAATAATTCACATATAAAAGTAAAATAAATTTTTAATGTTTAAAAATTAAATTTATTTTTAATTTTTTTTCCAATATTAAACTAATTAATACTTTAAAATAAAAATTTAAGGGTAAATTAGTAAATTTAAAATTAAAACAAATAAAAATAGTTTAATTTTTTTTCTTTAAAACAGAATTCTAACTTAAAAAAATTTTTTTTTGTTTTACAACTTTTCTTAAAATAAAAATATAATATAAATTATATAATATAATTTAATTCAATAAGTGCATGTTTGTTTTTTTTGTTATAAATTGTGTATTTTACAGGAAAAAACAATAAAAGTAGGTATATAGCGTGTGTGTTTTTTCTTTTTACTTCTTATGTTATTTTTTTCTTTAAAGGTATATAATAATATTATGAACCCACACCATGCGATTAATAAAATACGATAAAATAATACAATATCATTTTGTAATAATAATCTTTTACTGAATTATAAGTTTATTATACATTTAAATATAAAAAGGATACAAAAGGATATTTGTTATATTATATTAGATAACATTTTTTAAATAATTTTGCTATGTGAATTGTTTTTATTTTCAAATTTATTGTAAATGATTGATAATATAAAAGAATATGTTATGATAATATAAGTTTTAAAAAATAATTTTTTTTTTGAAAATCATTCAATAACAAAACAAAAAAAAAACATAAAAACATGTTAGTCAAAAATACTGATAAATACATACATGTTGATCGAACTTTTAACATAATTATAATAAAAATAGTAAACTAGACACCATGATATTAATATTGAAATGTATTTAATTATGATATAAACTAAAAAAAAGAAAATTATATTATAATGTTAAAAATTAAAATGTTATTTTTTATATAAATAAATATAAAAAAAATCTCATAATTAAAATTAATAAATATATAGAAATGAAAGTTATTATTTTACATAAAATATAAAGCAAAATTATAATTTAAAGAGTATGAAAAAAGGAAGAGCTTAAATAAAGTATCATTTTATAAAATTAAATTTTAAAAATAATGGTAAAATTAAAATTAAAAAAATCTAATTCAAATAATAAATTAAAAATTAAAATATACATTATTGAAATGATAAAAAATAAAGTATAGAAAATATAGATAAGTAAATAAAAAATAAGAAAAGAAAACTTAAATAAAAATAATTAAAAAGAAAAAAATCAAAATAATAAAAACCAATTTAATTTGCAACTACTTTTTTCTCAAAACGATTCTGTTTTCCGCCAATGCAACAAGCGATAAATCTGTTGTAAAATCTGTTGTAAAATCCCACCTCAGTTGTACCATCCTCTAAACGATGTAAATCATCATGTTGCTGACGTTTTATTATTTCTGGCATAATATCATCAAGTATTTTTAATTCACGTCTTGTAAATACAAAATCTAATGCTTTCCTTATACCAATCATAACAACTAACATTAATGGAAATAATATTGATGTCTGTTTAAATGATTTTATTATCCATAATACAGCTAAACATGCCAATTGTATTATTGTAAATAAATGCACACGTTTAATTGGAACCTATTAAATTAGAAAAAAAAAAAACAAAATTAGAAATATATACGAAATTAAATAAAAATTTTTTTACTTACTTGTCTTAAAAACATATAATCTGGTTGATATTTTATTGGCATAAACATTATTAAAATTCTATCAAAAAATTGAAGACCCTTTAAAGAAGAGACTCCCATATATAAGAAAACGCCATATAGTACTGGCATAGGAATATGACATAATAATGGTGTTAATAAAACAGATAAACCAATCATTAAGAATATAAGAATATGTGTAACTCTTTGTTCTCTAACACCTAAAAATTGTGGTTTTTCACCTGGAGCAGCACATTCAGATTCAACTTTTAATGAATTCACATGATTAATACTTAAAACTGTTGCAGCAACAAACCTGTATATATATATAATGCATATGTAAGAGATAAAGAAAGAATATTTAATTAGTTTTTATCGAATTCATATATAAATTATTGAAAAATATTAAATAATTTATTTATAATGAATACTGATTATATTTAGATTATTGATTTTAATTTATGTTACAACATAATTGTTAATATATTAATTTTTTTACCATGGTAAACCCATAATTGAACAAATTTGTATTAATATTGCTAAAATGAATAAATCCAAATGATAACCGCATCCTTTTTTCAATTTATTCTCTTTACGATTAATAATTACAGCTGTTATTTGTTGATCCATAAATATTAATATTGTTCCTAATAATGCCGGGAAAACAGCTATTATACATGTATAAAATGGATTTCCATTAAATGGTGGTATTATCCACGTACGTGTTTCTAATGTTGGTTGAAATTTACTTGGAACTTCTAATTTTGGTGTAGCTACATCAATCGTAAAATCAAGTACTGTCATACTAAGTATAGCAATTATTACAGAAAAATCACTTATAAATTGTCGTACAGCTGATGGAAAAAATAATGCGTTTTTAAAATCTTTTAATATAATTGACGTTACAAATGTTCCCAAAAATAATATTATAGACATAAGAAATACATTTGCGCTTAATGGTAAATGGCAATCTTTTCCAACTAAAGTACCATTATAAAACTACAAAAAAAAAATTGTTTTATTATTAAATAATTTTTTTTTATTTTGTTTATGTTTTTAACAAAATCCTTACCAAGCATTGTTCTTTGTTATATTTTGCCCAATCTAGTTCGGTGCCATTACCATTGTGAGGCGGTGTACATAAACAGTCATAAACTTGTTTAGGATGTATAGGCGCTGTTTTACCAATTTCCAAAACGTTTTCTACAGCCTATAATTTAGATATTTTTAAAAACTAAATTTTAACAATAAAATAAATATCAAAACTTTAAACTCTTGTGTATTACATAAAAATAAACTTAAACTACTGTTTTACTTAAAAATAAATGCTAAATTTGAAAATACATCGAATAAAATTATTTTTTTATTTCTCCATTGACAACAATTTTCTAAAATCAATATTTTATTGTAGACAAATTTGAAATTTTAAAGGGTGTTTAAAATCTTTTATCTAGGATTCTAGGGCATTGTAAAATATCAATAAGAATAGAAAAAGTCAAAGGTGTAAAGAGAACAAAAGGATTTAAAAATATAAAATTTTTCCTTTTTGGTATTTTTTTTTTTAGAATTGAGGTTAAGAAGACCTTCAATATATTAATCAAAGAGTATTGTATGTATAGTTATATTTTAATTTCTGAGGGATCTTAAAATATCTGATTTTGTAGGTCAAAAACTTTGCATATACATGGGGGTGTATGAATGAATTTTATTAGATTTTGATTATTATGAATTTGTAATATTATATAGGCTAAATTTTTTTATAATATTAAGATTTATTTAAGAAAATTATAGAAATCTATTGCAAAAAATGGTTAATGTAAGATGTAACTATAAATAAGTTGTAAATATTATGCGAAATAAATCAAATTACCTTATATATAAAAATGAAAGCAATTAATGTCGCAAAATTTTCTTCCGTAAATCGTGTTATATAACAAACCAATGCGCTAGCGTCAATTGCTACCAATATTAATAAAATAATTGCAATCCATGTTCCAATCCAAAATCTAAATGACATATAATCTAGACCTTGTCCTTTACAAAATTCAAAAACTATTGTTTCAAAAACTAAAACAGGTCCGGTTGAACCCAGTATCGTTAATGGTTGACCAGAAAAAAATCCATAACCAATACCACAAACAAATCCTGAAACAAGTGACTCCATAGCAGCCATATTTTTACCAGTTGCTGAACTTAGCAAACCCCCAAAAGTAATAATTGGTGATAAACAAGCAAAATATAAAAATATCCACGAAGCAATACATTGTAATGCTAATGCATCTTTAAAATCACTAAAATACCATGGCGCTTTACGTTTAACATCGTTAATTAAACCACCAAATAAACGACCAGTTCTTGATAAACCAGATTCTTCACGTAATCTCTGTTCTTCTTCCTCTTCATCTTCTTCTTCTTTTTTTGGTTTTTCTGGTGGACGTTTACGTACCTCTTGTGATGGTATTGCTGCAGGTGGTTCAATTCTTATTGTAGGATCCCATTCACCGGGTGGTAATACTGTTACAGCATCAAGAAATTCATCAATACCAGCTAATAAATGATCACGACGTTTTGCACGATATGCAACTTCATGAAATATTTCATCGGACATAAGTGTTGCCATTGCTCGACCTATTTCATGAAAACTTGTATGACTACCAGGTGGTCCAAGTAAAATGAAAAGAAACCTTAAATAACAAAAACAAAAGTCAGTTTTAGTATACAAATACTTCAAAATTTTTGAAAAAAAAAATTGCACTAATTTGATATTATTTACCTTGTCGGAACTGGAACTTCGGTTAAATTTCCCATTACTGTAGCTTGTCTTAAGCGAATAAATGCAGATAATGTCTTTTCAAGAAAATCAACTTCACCAACTAAAATATTGCTTGCTTCCGCACCAGGTGGTATTTTACGCATAAAATTTAAATTATGTTTTTGATCATTTAAATTACTGTCACTGGTATTTCTATGCATTGATTGTGAACTGGGACTGCTTATCATTTTTTCTTTATATAAAATAAATAAGTAATTTTTAATAAAATAGAAAAATAAAATAAATTTTTAAATAATAAAAAAACTTAATTAGCTACACTCAAAAACAAAAAAAAAAATCAAAAATTTGTTATATATTTGTAAATACACCTTTAAAAAAATTTGCTCTTTTTTATAAAATTTTTTTTGGTTTAGTATATTGATCAAAAGTTTGACTTTAATGGATTATGAATGACATCAACTCATTATTTAATCAAAAAATAGATAATTTCTTAATAGAAATCTTTTACACTTCTTGTAAAAATAAAGATCCGGAATAGGAAAAAACATGGAATCATAGAAAACGGTCAAAACATCAGGTCAATTTATTCCAAGTAGAGTCTACATTAGTGCTGTTGTATTTACGAAACAACTTTTCCTAAAGTGTATGTAACATTTTAAACGTAGAATACACCATATGAATAACTCTCCCAGTAACGTCGACTCAGACAAAGAGAAGTTGAGACGTGAAGTTAGTACATTTATTTTGGTAAATTTTTTTCTTTTTTTAATTAATTTTTTATTTGGTTTATTTAGGTAAATAATTTTAAATTTCTAAAAAGAAGGATAAATGTGAACAAACTACTTAAGAATGGACTGTTATACTATTTATGTAAGTAATAGCTTTGTTTCAAAGTTTGTATTATCTTTGTATATAACACTACCAAATATTCATACATTTTTCTGTTATACGAAAATTCTAATGCATGAAAATTCTGTTATACGAAAATTTTAATATCCATAAATTTTGTTATACATAAGTACTGTTATAGTGAAATATCGGGTCAAAATTTATACAGAAGTACATACGGGTCAAAATTTGTACAGACAAATTCTGTTATACTTCTGTATAACAGAATTTATACAGAAGTAAAAATTAATCTGCTAATTTTCAAATTAATAAGAAATATACTGGAAAAAATATATATCCGTGTAGTTTGTATACTCGTTTCAGGCACTTCTCTATATATCAGCTTAAGAGTGTGATATGAGGTTTAAAGTTTTATATTGACATTCTCAAAGTATAAAGGAACGCCAATATAATGTTAGTGTATTTGAACTTAATATTTTACATCATATTAGTTTTTTTTTAAAGGTGCATTTACATAAAAAATTAATAAAACTAAATTTTGTTGTAAATATTGTACATGCTAATTAAAAGTTTCTTATTCAATATTGTTTCTATAATTAAAGATATTTAAAAAAAAAAAAAACAAAAATATATAAAATGAGAAAAAAATACAATATTATTTACAAACAAACGTTAAATTATTATTATTATATAATTAAAAATATACAAATATTATGTATAGCTATATAAACATGCATTAATTTATTTTTTTTTTTGTTTTTGTTCGAACAGGACAATAATATTATGTAAATGACGAAAAACATTTTACTCTTTTTTAGTCTATTAAATATAGATTTTTATATTCTGGCTTTTAAAATGAAGTATTGAGAATCATTTTTGTTTTATTTTTACAATATGTGTATATTTTGTTTTTCTTTGTAAATTGCATTCTCAACACATTTTTAATAATAATTATTAATAATATAATACTGTTTATATATACATGTATTTATACCTCTTTATATACTATGTATATCATATGAAATGATTTAATATTAATGTGTATGTTTATTTGATTTCATTGATTTTTTACACATTATATTTTATTTTACTACAAAACAAAAAAAAGACGTGTGCTATACATAAAACGTATATTATGTTTTTTTTTTGTACATATTTCATATATATAATGTATAAATGTTTATATAGACAATATAATTTTATGACATAAATAATAAAGCATTAACTATAATATATATGTATATATAAAAAGAACATACAAAATGAAATTTTAATGAATTGAAATTTTTAAAACATGCTGTATGCAATAATTAAGTAGATTTATAATGTTAAAAAAAAAGAAACAGAAATATTACAAGAGAATTATTGCATTTAATATTCGGAACGTTTAACGCAGCAATTTTATTTGATTTTTTTTTTTTATAAAAAAAAATTATTAAAGTTTTTTTTTTAATTTATACATAATTAATTTTTTTTTTAAGGAAAAATATTAAATTAAATTGAATACAAATTTATTTTCATTTTCAAAAAACCATAATTTTTTCGTATTTAAGAAAAGGGACTTAAGTGGTTTACAGTTTTGTATAACGAAGATTTTCATAAATTTAAAAGTTTTATATGAGCTTGTATAAAGACTTCAAAATATTTGTAAAATAAAAACTATGAAAATTAAATAATTTACTTCTTGATAAAAATATTTTAAAAAGAAAATTTCAAAAAAAAATATTTTTTTTTTTGTTAAACCAAAAAAAAAAAAGAAATTTCTATTTGCTCAGGAAAGGATAATTTTTTTTTTTTAATTTTTAGTTTTTGTTTTGTATTTTGTATGTGAATGAAATCAATTTTACCAGAAGGATTTGGTACTAATGACGAAGTAGTAATTTTTCCAGGCACTGTTAAAAATTTTCCATTGCCATTGTCATTATTTCCGGATGATTTATTGATACTACTGGATAATGCAAATGATGATGGGGTTAAGCCAGGTGTACTTGCTGAATGATCATCCACTGCAATTTTTATTATTAGAAGAATATTTTTTTGTTTTGTTTTTTTTTTTTTTTGGTTTATGAAGAAAAAAAAAAAATAAAAAGAGAAAACAAAAAAATGAAAAAGAAAACAAAAATAAAACAAATGCAAAATAAACAAAAAAAAAAAACATTTAAATACAAAAATTTTATGTAAAATGAAAATCTAATAACAAAACAAAAAACAAAAAAACAGAAAAAGTTTTCATTTAATGAAAACATGAAAAACTCAAAATTCTTGTACTATCGATAAAAATTGTGATTGTGTTGTGGTGAATTTTTTTTTTTTGAAATTTATTAAAATGAGTGCAATAAATATTTTTTTAAAGAAATTCTTAAAATGAATCCAGATTTTGAATATTTTGGTTTTTTTCATCATTTTATGATTTTTTGTTTTCATTATTTAATTTTAAGTAGGTTTTTTATTTTAAATTTATTTTATATTAAATATTTTTGTCTTATTATTTTGATTTCACCTTTTACATAACTTATTTCTTAAATTTAAGAAAATTATCTAAAAAAAAATTAAATTTTCTGTACAACAATATATAATATGTATAAGAATGGTGGAATTCAATAATGGTGGAATTCGATAACTCGATATTAACAGCTTTCATCCTTCTGAATGTGATAAATAAATTTGAAATGGAGGTTTTTTTTACTTATTTAAATAATTACTTATTTAAATAAATTATGAAACAAAATCAAAGATTTTTATATTTGAAAACAAGAGAATTTGAATTCAATAAAATTTGGGTTAATTAAAAGATAAATTTAAGTGAAACTCGACAATATTTATGCGTTTAAATATAGTATTAAATAAAGTTTTTTAATGTTTTTGCAATTAGTCGATACTTTTTGCTTTACTTTATCAATAAAAATGTGATAAATAGGGAAATTATATAACTTCTCTCTCTCTTACAATTAACCGTATGTAATGATTATATCGCTAAGAATTTAGAGTTAAATTTTATTGCAAGGCCATTAGACAAATGTTAAGTTAAAATTACACGATCCGAGTTAGAAAATGTTAAAACGTTTTAATTCAACTGATTGGACAAACAATTTTTGCTTTTTATAAAATACTGGAATTATAATTTAAGACCAATGTTTTAGATTCTGGAGAGGATAAGATTCGTTTATAAATTAATTTAATTGACATAATGAGAGATAAATCATAAATAATATCAATCATTTGATTCGTGTGGTCTTTAGGATTAATATTACCAGGGAGTATCAAAGCAAGCTAAGTCCAGCATATTTTTTTTTTGAAAATACCAGAATTTTTTTTTTTAATTTTTTATATAAGTGTTTGTTTTTATCAATCAGTATTATAATTTTTATTTATTTTATATAATATACTTTTAAAATTAAATTTAATTTTCAATTTAAATTTAAATGTTCATTTTAAATGAAATAATTTAATTTTTATTAAAATATACATTAATATAAGAAATAAAATAAAAACAAATTGTTTTTTTTTTTTTTTTTTTTTTGGTACAACAAATAGCAATAATAATAATTAGATAGAGAAGAAGTTATTGAAATATTAAAAATTGAAAATATTTACCAAATAAAGCTTTTATAAAATCATCAAAAATTAAAATTTTATAATGAAGAATTGCGTGTTTAGAAGAGTAATTTAAAAATTTTTTTTATTTTTAAAAAAAATGCAAACATATTTTGCTAGTCGTTTAAAAGTATATAAGAAACATTTATTAAGAGTTTATATTATAATATGTACAATGAATGTACATTGAATGAAGGGTGTATTTAATTTTTTGAATAAAAATAGGGAAGGAGTAAAATTTTCTAAAAATTCATAGTTTTTTAAGATAGATAGAAAATTTAAAATATTAAAAAATATAATCAAAGAAATATTTAAAATTAATCGAAGAAGTGTACATATGTAATTTTTTGGAAATTTTTCACTTTGCATTTTATAACCTAAAAATATGCAATTTTTTGTGGAATTCGCAGAGAAAATATTTTTATAAAGCTTGTATCATTAATGGGCGTAATACACAATAAAACAAAAAAATTTTGTGATTTGAAACATAGAGCAAAAATACGAGAAAAAAAAAACACCAAAAAGTCAAAGAAAAAAAGAAAACACATTTATAAGGAAAACGATATTGTTATTCTTTTTCTTCTTAATAAATTTTGTTAATTTTTCCAAAATATAATTTGTTATTTTTCATAGTTCATAAGGTAAAAAAACCTTTAACTGGAGCTGAAGAGGAGCTACAAGGTATATTACACGATGGAGCTCCTGCATGAAACCATGTTGTTACGCCGATTCCACCAATATGTGATGTCGATGTTGTACCAGACGATAAATCTTCATCTATAAATTTTGATAAATTTGCTGATTTATTTTTTTTTTTGTAATATAAAATAAAGATAGAGTGACAAAAATGTATAAAATTATTTTAAGAATTTTTATTTTACAATGTTTTTATACGATATAAAAACTTTATGAACAAAATGTCTATAATCGAACATTTAGTACAGCACAAAATTTCAAAAATTTTGGAGCTTGGGGAAATTTAATATACTTTGATTTACTTTTTAATTGAAGTAGAATAATTAAAACAAATTTTAAAGAATTATAAAAGTTAAAAAATTTCTGTCTAAACATCAACACTTAATGCCTTAGTATCCTTTTCTTGGCAGACCTTACTTGCTTAATGAAATGAAAACTATAAGTGACAAAAAAAATGTTTAGTTTTTTTACAGTCGTTGACTATACATACAAATGTGCTTATGTTATATAAAAAAAAAAAATTTAATATCTGTAACACGCAACTAAATACTAATCAAAAAGCAGGGTTGTAAATTGGCATTGATTAGACGTATGTAGATATCAGCAAATAAAAGAAAGAAAAGCTTCTGCAATAAAGCACAATCAAACCAATCACGAAATTCGTATATGGGCTAATTTAAAAAATTTTTATACGAATTATGAGTAATTTAAAACTTAAGTTTACGAGTCTACAAGCTGAGCACAAGTAGAAGAAATATTCTAGACTGAATTCTTCCGAAATAAACCCGAACCTTTTTTAATATTTACATGTAATATTAAATAATAATGATTTAAAAGTATTCTGTTAACCACAGGGCACTTGTTTTAAAATTATTAAAATTATTCCACACCATTTGTTTAATATTAATGGAAGATTTCCGGTGTGCAGTTTTTGATTTTTGCAGTCAATCGTAAGAACAACGCCCGAATAGCTTTGTAAAACTAATAATTAATTTCATTTAACACTGTATTTTTGGTACTATAATAATTATATAAAAAAATAAAGTCTATTTAGAAGTTCAAAATTTAAAGATAGTACAAAAATAAAAAAGAGAACAGAAAAAGAGAAAGTGTGTTCCAATTTCATCAAAATTAGTTTCTATATTGGGTCATTTGTATTTGATTAAATTTAGAATTTAATTTGCAAGTTAATGAAAACTATTCAATTTAAAAAAAATTTTTTGATGAAATTGACGAAAAATTTGTTGTGAGAAAAAGAACAAAGGAAATTGTAGAAATTAGAAATTGTAGAAATGAAATTAATATTTATAATAAAAAATAAATAGTGTTTGAATGAAAAGAAATTTAATAATAGAAGAAGCAAAAATCTAAAGAGGATTATATTTAAAAAAAAAAAGTGGTTGTGGACTGTTTGATATCAATTAGGCTTTTATTATGTCTTTTATACACTTTGATGACTTCAGAGACCTGAAATAAGATCCAATAAATATGTTTTAACAATAAAAGAAATTTTAAAGTTAACATTTACTCAAATCAATTTATGAAATGTAGTATGCCAAGTATACGAATTCCATTTCGTATTAATTTTTAATAATTTCCTATTATTTTCCCTTGAAACAGATGCTTTAAAAAGTTTATGTACTCGTATCAAATATTTTATTTTCATTTATTTTAAAGAATTTAATTACAATTTTAATTGTTATATTGTTCGAAAAGTAAAGTTTTCAATTAAATTATGTATAGTATTTTATGAAATATTAATTTTTCTTATTAATTGTGTTATTCTTGATTTGAACTTTGTAATTTATAGAACATTATCTCGGGACCAAACTGAAATTCTTAAATTCTAGTTTTCAAAAGAATTTTTCAAATAATTTGAAACTACCTTGATATAATAGAGAAGGTATATGAAACATAATTATTATTATTATTAATATTATTACAGTATGCATTAAAAATGTCGGATCATTAAATGTTCTTGTCTTGTCCTTGTTTTGAAAAGAAGCCATTTAACATTTTGAATATTCTATCTAGATTTTGAAAATTATATCGTTTTTAAAATATCTTGGTTATATCAATTATATTTTATTATTATTATTTATTTCTTCTAAAAAGAAAAATCCATTTTATATTTCGATAATTGAAATTATTATTTAAAAGCACCATTCCCCACACATATTGTCATATCCATAAAAAGTTAATCGCTTGAATAATAATTGTGGTTAAGAATTTCAATTTTATATTTTTGTTAACATTGAATAGTGATTATATTTGTTATATTTTCCATTTTATAACATATATTAAAATAATTTTTCCACTTGATTAACTAAATTATATATATATTTAATATTTTCATATTGTTCGACTATTTTCTGCATTTCTTCTTAAATAATTCAATGATGCGAAATTTTATATTCTAATCTAAATTAAATATTTTATGTTGTAAAATTCCATTCTATGATTCTGAAAATTTCTGAGCTTATTTTTCTAAAGTTATTTAAATTTTATATTTTTGTGAACATTTTTAGAGGACATAAGTTTCGGATTCCAGTAATATATTACATACAGCTCTTGTTCAAATTCACATCGAAAAAAACTGGAATTAACGGATTGCAAAACACGTAGCTTTCATTATTATCGCATTGAAATATCTTTATGTATATGGAGAATCGTATTTTAAATGAGATTATATGTTGTCCATATATCACAATTGGTATCACAATAAGCCTTACTGGTCTATGTGTACCTTCGGGTAGCCGCGTCGGCCTAACCTAACCTATATCACAATTTTATGCAAAAAAAAAATAATTTCTTTAACAATTTTTATGAATTAAAATAGCAGTCAAAAAATTATTCATATTTTATTTTTATTCTCATTTTTTAAGATTACATAATATGCAAATGCAGATTTGGATTCAAAGATGTAGATGATATATTATTAGAAAACCAGCTGTGATATATGAAACACACGTAATGTTTAGCATAAAAGTCACTAAATTTTCTAAATATTATACAATGATAAAATGTATAATATGTGTACTACAATCCAGTAAGAATATTATTCTAAATATACTATGTATGTTTATCTAGAATATATGTATGTATTTTGCTATTCATATACACTTTTCTTTTTCTCGAAAATGTAACAAAATATTGTTAAATGATTTTTTTTGAACTTGTTACTTTCAATTGTAATTGTAATATTCATTTCTTTTGTATATATATATATATATATACATATTATTTATGGAATCACACAATTAAAAATACCTGGTTTTGGTACCGAAAGAAAACCATGTTGTTCTGGATAAGATTGACTATAATAAGAAAGTTGAGGTGAATATCTATCATCGAATCCATGCAATGAATGTGTTGAAGTCGCACGTGCTTGGTGGTGTAAATCTATTTATTTAGTTATTTTATATATATATATGTATATATATATATACATATTGTTTATATTTTTTTATTTTTTATTTTCATTTTTGATTTTGCCGGTAAATTCATATTTATATATTACATATAATATATATGTATAGAAAAAATTGAAAAATATGGTATATATATATATATTATAAACAAGTATTTTATAACTTAATTCACAATTGATATAAAAATTGTATTATGCTTAATTAAAATTTAATAATAAAAGACATAGAAAAAAAAATACATTGAATATTAAAAAAAAAACACAACTTTTATAGGACACTTATATTTTTTTCAAATGTATATGTATATATATATAATATAATATGATGTATGGGGATATATGATATTATATATTCTTTTATTATGTAATTCGATTGACACAAAAAGTGATAATGCGGATTATTTTTTTTATAATCGATGTTCGATGTGAAACATATTATTATAAATATACATATATATATATATATATTTAAATGTATATATATACGATTTACTTGTGAATTTACATTATAATGGGGAATTTTTGAAATAACCATTAATATAAAGAAAACAAAAATAAATTAAAAATAAATAACAATATTGTAAAAAAGAAAATTTAAAAATTTTTTAAAATTTGCCTAATTGTAGAAAACGAATTACGCTTGAGTTTTTGGTAAATTACTGAAATGTTCTAATCGAAATTCTATTTTGAATAAAAATATTAAATGGAGTTATTTTTATAAATATAAAGATAAATTTTAAAATTTTTAATTGTATTTTAAATTAAATTCGATTAATGTTGTTCAGTTGTTCAGTTCGGACTATGTATATGTTCCGCAATTATGGACAAAAACGTGAAAAAATTGTAAATTTAAAAATATTGAGATTTTTTTTAAAAAATACAGTTAGATTTATTTTGGAAAACCTTGTTAAAATTTTTAATATTGTTTTTAAATACAAAAAAAATAATTTATTAATTTGTAATCGTTAGTTTAAATAGCAGTAAATTGAGTGAAATTTATTGACTGAGACCAAACAAAATTTTTATTTTTGAATCTGTTTGAGTAGATTCAAATGTTCCTCAAGAAATTTTGGATTCAAAAAAGAAGATAGAAATTGCATAACTACAAAACTACAAATTTAGTATATTTGGAAAGAGAAACGAAACGTAGTGTGACAATTCAAGAAATAAAAGAAGACGAGGACTAGTGTATACATACGGATTGGGTAAATATAAAATATTTCAATGATTTTTTGTCATTACATTACAAAGAATACAAAAATGTGCTTTATATTCTGTTAAAATATCATTATGCTAGATATGCAAAACATATATAACTTATATACATATACATACATTAAATTTTGTTGGAACTCAAAACAAGGTGAAATTGAGTAAAGAATTCAAGATTAAGCATTTCAGTAATTCGTAATAAATTTTATAATATTTAAATTTTAACAATTTCCTAATTTTCTGGAAACTTTCTTTTGTTTTTTTTTTTGTTGTTTTGTAACTTATTTTTGACACATTTAAATATAAAGTCCCAATTTTATAATGAATTTTTTCTATTTATAAAAATAAATAATGATGACGTAGATATTTAATATAAGAGTACAAAATGAATATTGTATTTTTGATCCACAACCACAAAACTTAATGATTTCATTATATAAATTTGCTTTTAAAATTTAAAAAAAAAAAAAAACATTTTTTTTTACACAAAAAAAATTAATACAAAAATATTAAAAAAAAAAAATTAAGGAAATGAAAATATTAAAAAAAAAATTTATATTTCATTTTAGAGTAAATTGAACGTTATTCTTTTACCTATGCTTTTTTTTTCATTTCAAATGTTTAACAATATTAAAATAATTTGATTTTTAAAATTAATTAAATTTAAAATTTTTATATATATGTATATGTATGTACGTGTATACTCACTTTTATTCGATGAATGATTTCTACCAATTTCAGCTAATGATCTAATTATTGGAAGCATACTCATATTTTTTTTTAAATGATTTTCATTTTGATGTCGATGACGTCTTAATAATGCTTCACGTACTTTATCACGTGATTCCCTTGGTAATGTACCAGAATTGACCATATTTTCACATACTAAATCAGCTAATGTTTCAATTGTATTTGCTTCCATATCTAATATTACAGAACCATTCAATATTAAACTACGTAATTCGAATAATGAATGTAATGATAATGTTGCTACATGTGGTTTTGACCAACGATTACCACCTTCTTCAACATCTTCTTCAAATTTAATCCAACGTGCTGTTTCTTTCCATTCAAGTTCATCACCTTCTTTAACAAGTGTTTCCATTTCAGAAAATAATGGATGGGATTCATGTTGTCTATCATCAATATCTTCTCCAAGTATAAATTGAACTCGTTGAGCCGGTGGGGTAACTTTAATTTTTATAAATAAGAAAATTAAAATATTTAAAATTGTATTGAATATCGATTTTGCATAAATAATAAAATTATTTAATTTCTATAAAATGACAACAAAATTGAATTAAAAAATTTGTAGTCTGTGAAAATTTAATATTTTTTTTTTTTAGACATATGTACGTCACAAATTACAGATTCCCTGTAATATAAAATTTTGAATAATTTTTTATAATATTAAATTCCACAGTTCTTAGCATAATATTTAAAGAATAAATTATATTACTTTTTAAATTAAGAAAAATCATTTTATAAAATAAATATTATCAACTGTCTCAAGCCAATTTGTTTATTATAGTTGTTTTTTTATAATTTATATTAATGCATATTGTTTTGGAGTTTAATTTCCAATTTAAAACGAACATGCATTTCAAGAATAATTCGAAAACAAATAAATAAATGCAAACTATTAAGTGTAGTTTAAAAAAAATTTATTGCATTCAAAATGTATAATATGTTAATATAAAAATATTAAATTTTATAATTTGTATATCGTTAATTTATTAATTTTATTGACTGAAGGTATGACATATTATTCCTATGTCATCCTTAAAATGATTTACCGTTACCAAATTACCTTTTCGCTATACTGTCATTAAATTTACATTTTTATGGGTGTGGAATTTAACTTCCTAAAAAATTAAGGAAATTGTATTCTAGAACTTGTGCGAGCGTTAAGGGGTTTCGTATGACGATATCCTTTTAGGGGATAAAATCTTAAAATTTGCTTAGCAGCATAAGAAAATTCTAAAATTCAAAATGTCATGTTTTCCGCATGAGAAATCGCGAACTTATATGAGACTGCTGGTTTTTTAAATATTTGCTCAATCATCAATTTTATATGTGGCTCAAATAGCCATAGTTTGTAAATATAAATGTTACGTTTATTACTGATTTAATAGGAAAGTTACGGCTCATTATAGCGGAAGTTTATTTAAATAAATATTGTCTTATAACAAATTTTTAAAACCTAAAAATACTTTTCGAAAAAAAAAAATTAAATTCAATGTCATTCTATATTATTTTAAAAATTTTCATTATTTAGTCTTGAGTATCTTGTTATTTTTCTTTTTTCCTCCTAAATATTTTCATATAATTAATAATTATTTATAATTTTTTTTTTTTTTTTTGTACAATTAATGAATTTTTTATTTGTTTACTTTTCTGTAAGAGATGCTTTGCAAAATATTTAAACAAAAAGTATAGATGTGCGTGTATTATAATACACAAATAAATTCAATGAACTTCTACATAATTAATAAATAAATAAATAAATATATAAGGAGAGCCACAAAAACGGTGGTGTGTTCTTCAAGGTTAAAAATCCAAATATAATTTTCACTTAATTTCCTAAGTGGGTTTATATTATTTTTTTAATGTGTTTATGTTAAACAGTGTGTTGTATGTATGTATGTGTATCTATATATACAAACAAAATTTTTGCAAAATAATATGTATATATGTGTATATGCATGTATGTTAATTTTACATTAATATGTTTTGAAAATAATGATATTGGCGTTTTAAAAATAAAATTTTTTTTTGTATAAAAAAATTGTTTGAATTTTATAAAAATAGAAATTTTAAGCAAATTGCATTAACTTATATACAAAACAAAAAAAAATATTAAAATTGTGGTATTTTAAGTTTAAATAAATGAAAAAGCATTAAAATTTTACTGCTAAATTTGCAGTTTACATGAATTACATTTGGTTGATTTGACAAAAACCAATTATTGTTTTCTAAAATAAAAACTAGGTGTATGTTTTTTTTAAATTATATTAACAATGCCAAGCAGTTTTGAAATAATAATTCGCTTTTTGAGTAACGCTAGCCTTACATACGAGTAGTAAAAAATTTAATAAAAAATTATGTTTTTCAAAATTACAAAGTTTAATAACCAATTTTTAATAAATTTTTTTACGCTTAAAACATGCAATTCGGTATTAAATTTTTAATTTATTTGTCAGCTTTAATTTTATTTAAAAATACTTTTCAATAATAAATAATGGTACTTCTCTAAATTGTCAAAATTTTTATTCACAATTTGGGCAAAATTGACGCAAAATTTTTTGTTAGCAACATGTTGCTAAACCAATTATAAATTTCGATTTACTCCGTGTTTAATATATTATTTGCAATTTGATTATTAAGAGAAGTACCAATATGTAAAATATTTATAATGAATCATTCAAAAGTGTAAAAAGTATAATTCAATTAAATAAAATTATTTATAAGACGCTTTGGCAATAATTTTAATTATATATTTGTAATAAATAAAATTTATGGAACAAAGTTTAAACTAAACTACTTTTTAAAACTATTTTATATAGGTGATAAAAAAATCTACGCAAAATAGAAAATAAACTAATAATTTATAATATTACAAAATGTGTGCTTACAATTGTCCCCATCATCAGGTGCTAAACTAATGCGTCGTCTTGATATAATGGGTGGTGGCCCTTTAATTTCAATACCAGTGAAATTAAAAACAATTTTTTTTTTAATAATTTTTTGATATATATGCATAATATTTGTATATATATGTATGTACAAATATTAAATTATATAGAAAATAGTATTGTGTTTCAATTATTTCTTAAATATGAAAAAATCTATATATATACAGTGGTGGCCATAGAAATATAGTCACCTACCTTCATATTATATTTGTTCACGCAACTTATTTTTAATAGCATGTAGGCATCACTATTGTTCCCAAAAAGTAAGAGTAATTAATATGGTATCATAAATAATTTTGGGGAAAAAACACTATTTGCACTTTATGTATTGAAGATAAGTATTATTTTATTACATAAAATTAATATTTTTAGTGGTCTGTAAAATAAAACCAATGTGTTAAATATTAAAAATATCGAGTGAAGAAAATTTTCGGTTGAGTTTATTAAAATATTTTTTGAGTTTATTTTTCAAAATTTTATTTTAAGTTTTATGTGAAATATCGATTCGGAATGGACTAGTTACTCATTATACAACAAAATAGGGAACAAAGGTATTAACATTCCAAAATAAAGATGAATTTCAAAGAAATATTAGAAAAAAAATAATTAAAGGACCTAAATTTAATGCAGTTGGATAAGGAACAGAAGGGATGGGATATAAGGCGCTAAAAAGAACACAAAAATCGTTTCATTTTATCGTTGAGTCATCCCTTAATAAAACCTAAATTAAATTTGAATATGAATGCACGTATTATAAGAGGAAGACTGCTAGAAAAAAATTTGAATATCATGGATGCTGCAAAAGTTCACATTATTGCAGTTATTAAATAATTAAAAACCGTCAAAAATTCTCGAAAAAACACGTTGAATGCAGTATGGCGATCGAAAATGGATCTTATATCAGAAGCTATCTGCACTACATATTTTCTGATTCGTTATTATTGTTAATTTTAAATTATTCGTTCTCTTTTAAATTTTAAAAGTATTTTATTAAAAATTATTAACACAATCTTCATCTTTTGATTTATTTATAAACAACTTGTGAATTCGGAAAACAATTAAATTTAATCTTCTTAAGAAATTCTCCAAGTAAAACTAATTATAATAATTAAAATTTTTTTATTTGCAAGAATAACTTTTTAAGTATTACAATTTTATGTGCAAATATACTTTTACAATAGAACTTCAATTAAAAATATTTTGAAGGGATAATATTATTAACTTTGTTTTTAATTTTATTTTTTAATTCATCCCAATCAAATTATATATTTTACTTTGTAAATACAATAAAAATTTTATCTGTCTGCTCTTCACTATAATAAAAGTACAATATCAATAAGACTAATAGTAATAAAACTAATCCGATTTATTAGAGATCAAACATTGGAGATAGTTAGGAAAAATTAATTTTCTTTAACTATTTTATTGGAATAAATGGTATTCTATTTAATTTTCTTTAAACTAAATTTATTGAATTAAAATTATAAGTTAAAGAAATTAGAAAAGTTTGAAAAAAAAAATGTTTTTATGAAATTTTTTTTTTTATATTGTCTAGACATTTTTTAATACACATAAGTATGAATATTTTGAATTTTTAATCATAAGAAATTTACTTAAAGTGTATACGTATAATTTTCGGTTAATGATGATATTTCTAAAATATATATACAAACTAATTTAGTAGATATATTGCGTGACCCGTCAAATTCTATGTATATCGAAAACTATAATCTTAATTTATAGTTAATGATAAGATTAAAGTAAATAAATTGCATTCTAATTTTTCTATTTCTTATAATCGCAAATAAATTTTCTCAAAATAAACTAATTAGTGCGTCTAATCAAGTTTAAGTTCATTGTCAAATAATTTTCTATGGAATTTTTTCAAAATGGTCAGAAAATGCTCAATGATCTAATTTTTAACTATTTTTCTTTTATATATAAAATTTATGAAATTATAGAATTTTCTCTACAAGGAGAAGTCCTTATTTTACAAATAAATACACGAAATTTTTTTTTTCGTGAATTTTATGTGACACTAATTATATTTTCTGCTTTAAAGCTATTAAATAAGATTTTGGAAGAATGAAATCTAAATTTTATGTATTTATACATATGTATATGACAAGATTCAATTTTAAATAATATTATATAAAGTATATTATGTTTATTTAATAATGAAAAGATGAAAATATATAAAATGGAAAATTTATTTTACAATATGCCACATTTCTATATATTTATATTATATATACAAATACTCGTAAGTGTATAAATGAAAATCAAAGTCAAACAAATCTGTTAATAACAAAATTAAACAATTGTTGAAAGAGTTTTTGGGCAAATGAGAAGAAAAATCTGTAAAAAATTTGAATTCTTGATTTTTCAGCTCTATACTCTAGATTCTAGAAGTAGGTACTTATATTGCAATGAAATATCTATTCAGATCTATATACAGCTCTCAGGCAAAAAGACTCAAAATTTTTTTGTGTACATAGAGAATTTGTTTTTGGGCAACGGTATAATTTTGTTTTGAAAACATGTAATTAAATCGCTCCGTAAATTTTCCATAAGAGAAAAGCTGAACTTCATTATGATGAAAAAATCTGAACTCTCACAAATTTTTGAAACTTTGAAAAGTGGAATAAATTGTCTTTAATTCTCATTTACACTACATATTTAACTATAGAACACTATATAGAAAATTATATACATAGTTCAAAATGTATTCGCTTATGACTAAAAAGTAAAATTTTTTTTTGTCTTCTTAAATAAACCAAGAATAAATAGTTTATTTTATAAAACAGTGGGATATCAGAGAACTACTGAGAAAAACTAATTATGAGAATTTTTTTATTTTTATATTTTTTAACTACATAATATGTATGTATGTGTGGAAACAAATTCTTTATAAATCATGAACAAAATAATTTTTCAAATTTACATAATATTTATTTGAAAATTTCTATAACTACCCCAATTTACATAATATGTATGTAATTATTTTGTGAATATAATGAACATATGCTTATGTCCATACGTAATTCAGGTTTGCTTTACTTTTAAATTAATTTTTTTGTAGATAAAGTTCATTATAAACTATATAAGTTTAATTTAATTATAAAAAAATTAAAAATTCAAAAACTAATTAAATTGAAAATTTGAATATGAAATGCGAAAATCAAATATGAGAAATTGGTTATAAATTTTGAAAGGGTGCTGGAAATTAGTATGTATGTATGCCAATTTGATGATTTTCCAGAAAGGTTTTAATAGAATTATAGGGTAATATTAAAAGGATTTTATTTTGATTAACATTTATTTGTATAGGAAAAACTTGTCGAAAATTTTTGAAAATGTTCTGTTTTATACGTTATTTATGCCTATAGGTCAAATTTATATTTTTGTTTAACTTTATAAAAAATTTGAAGTCTTTATATATAATTTGTTTTCTGCCGAATTTGGTCTAATTTATCTTAATGAGGGGTCGAAAATAATAACAGAAGGATAAAAACTTGCAACTTTGAATATCATTAATCATATTAAATGTTTCCGGATTTCCCGGTAAAGAACAACGTTTTTCTTCTTTTAATTTCAACAGGTTTGGCAGGCTTTAAGGGGTTGAAGGATTGACCCATAATTTCTATACCATATTACAGTAAAAAAAATCTCTTTAAGAAATATATTTAAAAATTAATAAAAAAAAATATTTACTTGGTCTTTCTGTTTCCGGTAGGTTTTTATCACCACCTTCTCCATTACGTGCCTGATGTGATTTATGCCGTCTATGTGAATGTCTTCTGCTACCTGGAATGTGAACTCCTACGAATACTGTATGTGCTCGATGTCCTTAAATTGGAAATAATATTTTTTTTTAAATTAAATTTAAATATTGAATTTCAAGAAGGTAATAGAATAAAAACAAAAACATACACATATTATTATTAATTTTTTTTATATATTTGTAGAAAATAAATAAAAAATGCAATTAAAATGAAAAAAAAAAATTATATACAAAAGAGTTTAAACAAAAAAATACTCCCACAATTTTTATAATTAAAAATTTTAAGACTTGTTTCCATGTCAAATTGAAATTAACAAAGAAAAAACACATAACAAAATGAAATTAAAAAAAATTAAAAGGGGATCTCTTTTTATACTTCCTTTTTTAAAGGACATTATATCTTTTTTGATCTTTTGTATGATTTTATATAATTGAAAATATTTGTTAAACCAAATAAAATGAGTCAAGCTCATATCCCATAATTTATAATAAGCGAGTGAAATAATTAAAATTTTAGAATATTCTGTGCGGATTTATTGAGAAGAGTTCTATGGTACTTCGAGATAACTGCCAACAAAGGATTGCTTTGGTTTCATCTTCTAAATGCTGGGTGGTGTTGAAAGTTTTTAAAACTATGAAAACCCTCTTACCTTAAACAATAGGATTTGCTTTATAGATTTCGCAATAGATTGGATTGTAAGATGTTCTTGGGGGCAGTGAATATAAGTTAGCCTTAAATACGCTAACATTTGAAAGTGTCTTCTTAACACTTTAATAAGCATAAGAGAGAGTGTATGAAGATAGGAATGTAAGTGTTTACATACTTTGGAGCGATTGGGCCCTTTTGTCGATAAGATTTCCTATTAATCACTATTTCGGATTCACTATAAAAATTGTATGTTTTTTATAGTTGTACAGTTGGTTGTCAGATACTTGTTTTTAAAAATTGTTATTAAATGAGACCATTTAGTATTTTTATGCATAGAACTAAGTACGTCTACAAAAAAACATACTATCCGGAATATTCTTTGCTACGTAAATAATAAAAGAAGAGTGAAATTAATAAGTCGATTAGCACGAAGTAAATAATTAATATAGGTCATAAATTGTTATATTTAAAAAAAACTGAATATTTTCAGCAATTGTCCTTCAAAATGTCCTTTAATTTTATTTTTGACTTCTTTTCTCTTGGCATTTTATTTTGATAGCACACGCAAATAATTCATACATAAGTATATGATATACTTATACAGGTTTAAAACAGAGTTAATTTTGGTAGGATAAAAAAGTATAAATAGTAGATTGGGAAAAAAACGTGCCAGCTACTAAAATTCATGACATAATATAAGAATAAAATTTACTTAGGAAATTGGTTATTTTTTATTGTTATTTTGTAATTTTGGTTCTTTATGCCTTTGTTAAATAGCGTATAGCCGGTAACTTGGTGATATTTAGCAGTTTATCTGATTTTAACAATTTAACAAATTTGTGTACTTAAATTCAAGGTTATGCTTTAATTTTGTTGCGGGAAAATTGACGATTTTTTTGCTGACTTCAAGAATTGTATTCTTATTTTTTTAACAAATTCATAAAAATAATAAATCTTGAATTTTCCTAAAGAACACTTAATTGTCCAGAATTCAGAACATTGGGATTAGGTCTAAAGTTTTTGTTGTTTTAAGGAGAATATTTTTAGAACTCAAACATTATCATTAATTACAAATTGCTGACTAAAATTTATCTCATTTATATTCACTGTTAAACCTTTACAGGCTGATATCTTACCTTCAATATCTTGTTCCGTAAAACCTGGAAGATATTTCCCCGGATCTTTGGGGGCCTCATCGTCTGTTGAATGTGAATGCATTGTCCACGGTCTAGAAAAAATTAAGAAAAAAACAAAACAAGTAAATAATTAGCTCATATTATTATTTATTAAGTTATTAATTAAATTTTAATTTAAAATAGGAAAAGTAATTCTCTACTTTATATTTCCTGTTTTTTTCTAATTAAGTATATAATTTATGTAAAATGTTACAATCTGTAATAGTTTTGTAAGAAAAGGGGAAGAACTTGCATACCTATTGTTTTGAATCTTTATTCTTATATTCTCACAAATAATTTTGAAAACAAATTAATTTTATTCTTAATAGTTATATTTTTATGTAAATTATCTTAATTATAATTTTCTACGATTCATGAATTAAAACATTTTGTAAAATATTTGTTATTAAAAAAATTGTTTTTAAATAAATTATACACACTGTTATTGTTTAAGAGTAATTGACTGTAATAAGATTTTAAAGAAAATCAAGATTATTTTTAAAGATAATATGAAAAATATAGAAAAAATTCCGAGTGATCAGTCTTTGAAAAATAATATGACTTATGATGTAATAGATTTAAGTGATTTATTGTTATGTACATTAAGCAAAAAAAAAAAGAAAATAGACTTCCTTTTGAATTGGTAATATTTAACTTTTCATTTCAAACACATGCATTTGATTTTTTTAATTTCTGTCATAGAATTATGAGTGAGGAGCAGGTTGTTCAATATTAAGTAGTGTTTTATTTATTACGAGGTAAATTTTAAAAATCTGTATAAATTATACTTGATTGATAGACTGACATAATGCGGTTATCTATTATATATAGATGAACCAATATGAAAAGTTTGCATATATGTATGTAATTAATTAGAAATTAAATAAAGTTTCCCTATTCTGATTTAGTTGCACTTGTAGGTTCAAAACGAAATCGGGTACAGTTTACGATTCAGTAATACATGATGTCCGTCAAATCCTGCATTGGAATCTGACTCGTACTTAGGTTATAATATTTTTGACCATCATACAAACGATAACACTACAGAGGTGGTGTAGACGCTATACCTTTTGAAAGTGCTTTTTCGGTACAGTGGTCGGCACAAGTTAAATTCAAGTTATGTACGTTCATTTGAGTGACTGTTCACAATCGATTTGGGTACAAAGCAATAATTTATGAGCTAACGTGAAGGTTATTAAGCGCATTTTCTTCATTCCTTCCGACATTTACAGGTGAGATATGGAACGGCGTCGACATATACTATTATATTTTCTATACTTATGGAAATTCTCTTTGAAAATGTTTGTGTTGGGTAGATATCGAGTTCTCATTTTTCTTTGATTCCTATTGTTTGAATTTCGTATGAATGTAATGACCGAACTCCTATAATATATCTTTTGTAACTGTCTAATATTTTGAATAAAATTTATTCGGTATTGAGGAACTGTTATTTGACTTTCTTAGTTCTAAAAAGGGCCAGAATAAAATACGAATAGTTGCAGTTTTTGCAGATTAGTTTCTATTTGCCATAATTTAATCTATTTAAAAATCTATAAAAATTGATAGATTGTGAAATTTTTTTGTCTGAATTTTCCTATAGGACTTTAAAGTTCTAAAATATGGTATGTTGTAATATTTTGTAGTTTTATACAGTCAACAAATTAATTTAAATGATAAAGGTCGTTATTTTAAAATATTAACATATTAATTGTTATGCTTTATGAAGCAAAATTTTCTCAATTTATATTTTAATTTATAGCTACCAATTTATAGGTAACGTATAATTAATGAAAATCTTACAAATCAGTTTTTCTACTAAAATACGCAAGGTCTTGTAGTCTGTTCTATACGTAAACATACACAATGTTTATGCAAGCAGGAACATTTAAGTGAAATAAAACGTGCAAGGAGAGTAGGATTTAACCGGATTTGCGATTCTATGGTTGCAAAACACATTTATGAAACGGATCACACAATCACGGAAGATAACTTAAAGGTATTAAAAGAGGTAAAAGGAAAACACAGGAGAGAAGTTCATGAAAGCATGCAGATATACAAATCAAACAAGGACTGCCTACTAAACACGGACGAAGGTAACGCGGCTACTTGGCTCTTTAAATTAATTATTTGACCAGTTTTAAGGTTTAAAACAGGTATAAATTTAGTTTGTAAATAATAACAAAAAAAAAAAAATAAATAAATAAATAATCAAATTCTAGATTAAGTCAGGTATAATATTCCTAATTTTAATAGATTTCAATTTTTATTGTTTGTTGTCTTAATTAGAAGAAAATCAGCTTTGATAAAGTGCGTATGTAGCGCACGAAATATATTAGCGAAAAATAAAAAGTATTTTATTCCGAATAAAAAGAAGTTTTCTTCTCACACCAATAAAAAAAAAAACAATTATATTTCGGAAAAATTATTAACCATTGAAAAAAAAATTTTTTGAATACACAATGTCTTTGAATGTTTGTCACAATTTGTAATTTTTTTTAGTAAATACTTTAAATTAGAAAGAGTTAATTTATAGAAGAATTGTAAACTACTTGTAACACATGCACATTTATAGACAATAATATTTTATATTCAATCATACTCTATATAAAATTTTACAAATAATTAAAAACATACTTAGACTCCATTTTTTATATTTTCCTAATTTTTCGTTTTTTTTTTGTTTTTTTGTTTTTCTATTCTTGTTCTTAATTTATTATTTTAATTCACAATGATCTTCACTATAAACTTTGTTCTCTGTCTTATTTGCTCTTCTTATTTAATTAGAAATTATTCCAATTTAAATAATAACTAGCATATTATAGAAAAAACTTAATAAATTTTATATATTAAGTATGTGTATTTTGGATATATATGTATTTATGTTGGTATGTAACTGAATATCTCAGAGTATTTTTAATACAAAACGGAAACAATAAATTTATATAGAGCGTTTTAAGTTCACAATATGAATGTATACTTTGTTAAATATTGAATTAATTTTATATAACAAAAAGGAACTAATGTTGAATTTCATATATATAAGAGAAATTAATATTATTATGTTATATGCTTATTAACTTATATACTTATTGAATAGAACACATTTTTTCTTTTTAGAAAATATCACAAAATAAAATAAAATATTTATTTTTAAAATAAAACAAAAACATTAATTAAATTAAATTTTTTTTTAAATAATTTTTTTTATTTATTTTTAATTATAATTTGTTCGAATTTTCATAATTAAATGATTTTTAATTAAAATATTTTTTTTTAATATTTTATTTAAAACTTTTTTTTTTATTTTAAATTTTACTAAATAATTTCAAATAAGATATTGCACGTGTTTTTTTTTTATAAATTTAAAAATTGTTTAAATTATTTATGGCATTTTGTTAATTATAGTTATCAACTCATTGTTTTAGGCACTCTTTAAAAATTTTCATTTATATTCAATTTTAAATTTATATATTTTTTTTAATTATAATATTATAAAATTAATTGATTTTTGTAAACCATTCCTACAAAGTCCACAAATTTCGTAAATAAACTGATTTCGTTTTTATTTTGCAATTTCTGAAAAATCCAATTTATAAAATCCAATTTGAATAAACCTAAAAATAAAATTCGTAATTCGCAATAATTTCAATATTATGTGAATTTATTTTTTTTTGTTATTTACTTTAATTTTTTTTTTATAAAATCAGTAATATTAATGACTTTATTGTTAATTATTATTTGGAATATAATTAAAAGGGGCTCTTTAAAAATTTATATACACAATAAAATACTGTTATTAAAATAATTGTATAATTATATGGTCACATAATCATTATTTGAATTCTCATTATTTCCTTGTTATACTAATTGTATGTATCAAATTTGTTATAAGTACTATAGTATATTATGCACCTCATACACATACAATATTAAAAAGAATATTTTAAATATTTAATAACATAATATTTTTTTTAAATTGTATGCTTTCGATATTAATTGTTCTATTTATGTGAATTAAATTTTTATTATATGTAAATTTAATATTAATATTGAAATTTAATTAAATTTTTATATTGTATTTTTTTGTAATGCAGTGAATTTATATAGAAAAAATAAGAGGAAGTTCTTAAGATTATTTTGTTGTGATACAAAAAAATTTTGTTGTAAGGATTACGTAAGAGTTATTTTGAAAAACAAATTCAATTTTGGATTTTAGATGTTTTAGTTTACCATAACTGTGTTGGAAAATATTAGAATTAGAAAACTCATATTGACTGCAGTAAATGTTGCAAGAATGGATTTTTTTAAACGTCATTACGTTGTATTTCGGCACAATTCGCAACGAATATTAGACTTACAATTTTTCATGTTTTCACTTAGTCAATACCTAAGGGAACCACTTAGTTAAAAGTACTTAGAAATAAAGGAAGTTCACTTGTACACGTATGTGCCTTGCTAACAAATAATGTTTTAAACAATATTGTATAATTCTATTATTAATTCAGTATTGTTTAATGTTATGATCTTGTATTTCCTTGATGTTACTATATATATGTGTGTGAAAAAATAAAAATTAATTGTAATTATTGCGTGCATGTTTGAATACATTAAGGTATCACACATTTAAGGCTAAACAAACATTAAATCTTAAAATATTTTCGACCGGAAAACTAATTGTATATTTACAAACTGCAAAGAAAATGAATAAAAATTTGTAACATATTCTTATAATTATTACATATACCCATATGTATATATGTATATATGTTATATGAATATGTATAATTTTTCATAAAGTAGTTTAAAAATTTTATAAAATTTCGTGATTTTACCAATTTAATAAAATTTCCTGTTGATAATTTACGTTTGTGAATTATGATGTATGATCTTAATTGACACATCTTAATTTATGTGTTTTTATTAATAAGGAAAATAAATAATGAAAAAATTAAATATTGTCGACTTTAAAAAAAAATTTTCTTGCTTTTCTTCTACAGAAACTTTATTTAAAACAAACATTATGTAACTATTAATTATTTTGTGCATTTTGTTATTATAATTAACCTTATAATAGTGTTCCTGAGAATTTTTGCTCAATTTTAATTCAAACAAAAAAAATTTTTTTTTTGAATGGCAATGGCATTGTACTGTTGGGAATATTTTAATTAACGAAAATAATTAAAAACATACAAATCTAAATTTTGATTATATTCACTTTTAATGTTCGAATTCAAACTCAATTATTTTAAGTATTTCCGTAAATAATAATTAAAAGATCAAATGATGCAGATATAAAGAAACGAAAAAATGTAAAATTGTTTCAAAGTGATGTTAAAGTTGTTCACTTTCTGAATATAAGTTTACCTTTATGTGTATATTTATATTATTGAAAGGCATTTTATATGTATGTATTAGTTCACTCGCTTCGGGGATTAATAAATGAGAGACCTTTCTAATTTGCTGTTTACCAGCTTTCTAGATCATCAGAGAGCTGACTTATTTAGAGTTAAAAAATTTTGACGACAGGAAAATGTGAACAAGATTCAAATAAACCTTATATATAAGGGAATTTAAGTGTCTGGTTGGAAAATATGCAGGATATTCTAGTCATTAATTGTAACAAAAGTATGTGTTATTGTTACTGAAGAGCAGTTATTGTATTTACAACTTATAACTAAAGAACTCGTGACGATACTAATTGGAAGCAAAAATTTTAGCTGGCTCAGTTTAGTTTAGAGAGGGAAGGTGGCAGCCCCAGCACTAGGCCAGCAAAAGGCCATCGGCATCCATTGAATTCTCTTGAAAAAGCCAAGCAGATCACTCAGAGACACCTCCGAGAGCTCCTCCAACAATCGAACCGATATCCTCCCAAAAAGCGATCCCTCCTCCGAATAAAGAGGGGCACTCGCACAGAACATGATGCACATTCTCCATCACCCCAACATCTTGGGGCAAGATCTACACCAAAGCAAGTCTCTCCTCCTTCTAGTTTCGTCATCTATACTGTTCTTCAACTCCCTAAGAGCGGAATCACCTACTAGTCCATTGCCACAGTGTCGGCCGCCGCCCCGATCTGGCCAACTCGTCGACCACCTCATTCCCTTCGACACCACTATGTCTCGGATCCCAGCACAAGGTCACCCTACATAGCCCGCATAAGACCCCTCACCTCCGCACCAATTTAGATTTGACAGTGCAAGAACTCAGCGCCCCAATTACACCGTTCGCCACCGCACTTCAGCCTGAAATACGCTACTGTAATCCGGCAGCCTAACAGATAGCTTCAACCCCATCTCCTCACAGAATACTGGTTTAAGAAGACTACAAATTAAAATAACGCAGCAAGTACCAGATAGAATCCGGAGGGAAATCGTAAAGCAAGAAGGTGAAAGTGATCTGATGTACAACAAAAGATAAAGAAATCTTCGACAGCTTATTTTCATTAACGGGTTATTTTCATTCATTGAAAAAATAGTTAATATTTAAATAATATCTTCTATAAATTAAAAACAGCAACCCATTCAAACACAAATTTAAATTATACTTATAACACGTGAAAAATATATACACAATTTAATTCATAATTTCAAATATAGAACAAAAATTTTAAATTTATTCCAAGCATGTTTTACCTTTATTTTATTACTTTGATGAAATATGAAAATTTTTAAATAATATTCGTATCTGTTCCTTATGCAATTATATTTTCTTGTGCAATTAATTTTTATATATGCACATAAAAAAATTCACTTTCTTTTAAAATAATTAAAAAAATAATAAAGCACACATTGGTTTTTTTAAGTAGTCGTTGATCAAAGAAAAATATTATATTAAAAATTATTTTTTTTGTAGCGTAATTCTGATTTTCTGAACTTTTCTTTTGAATGAATTCAGTGAAAGGGAAAGGAACGACGTTGTAATACGAATTACCTATAATTACTAGCAATATAAATTAAGAATTACTATGCTATATAGTATAAAAAAAAAGCGAATGGTGAACATTTAAGTATTTTGTAATTTATATGACATTTCATTGCATTCTTAATTGTTCACATTAATTTGTAACAGGTGTTCGTAAATTAAATATGTGCTCTTTATTCGTTATAGAGAATATTTGATTGAAATTCAATTGCTACAATTAATCTCCTTGTTCCGGTAATTCTAATATTTTTAATTTCCTTTTTGGAAAAAATTAATTAAAAATATATTTTATCCTTTTTCAATACATTTCGTATAATTGATTGCTTTTATATTGTACAATTTAGGTACACAACGTGAACTTATAAGACGATTTGCATATTTATAGGCAAATATTTTGATTATAGATCATTTTGGATAATCCGTCTATTCCAAAATTTCATTCGATACTACAGCCGATATTCCATCTAAAGCTACGTTAGATGTTGATTGGTCTAGTAAAAAGATTTGGCGTACCCCGCCTCCCTTCCACAGCAAAGAAAATGGTTTAGAAACGTGAAATTATATAACCTCTGACCTCATGAATCGCTCATAAGGTTTCAGTGATAAAAATAATAAAAATCTCTAGCAAAAAATATTTCAGAGTACATCTTTATTCCCCAAAATTTCGTTTCGGACAGACAGATTGCAATTTCGTCACTATATAAAATTATAACGCAATTTGATCATAATATTCTGTTATATTTTTTTAACAATTTAACAATGCATTGCACTACAAATTCTTGTATATTTACAGTACAATTAAATGAAAATAATAAGAAATCTGACAATGCACGGCTATTTGTTGTTTTTGTTTTGCAACAAAAACAGAAATTTATTGTTGGTTTTACAAATTAAAATGTTCAATTGTGTGTTTGAAAATGATGACAGGTATAAAGCATTGTATTTTTCTACAT